ATCGGAAGATAAGCGGATACGTGCAGCAGAATCCGGTGTTCCAACACTGTAATCGACATCCGAAAAATCAAGAGTCGGATCGAAATGTCGCATTAGGATAGGATTGAGAATTAATCAGCATATATTTATTAGCTTACCACTGAAAGCAATGGACCTTGCTTGAACTTGTCATGGAATGAGAAGGAGAGGGGTTTAGGGTTTTCCCCGGGCCCCCTGATGAAACCTCTGTAATAACAATTAACAAAGCAGAGAGAGATACTCAGGCTCGATGAATTAGATCATTGATGATGAAGACAAATCCCAAGATTTTACTCGGAAAGAAGGAGATGGGATAGCAGTGGGAAACACTTACACGAGTGAAGCCGAGACAATGGGTGTTCTCCGTGTGTCATAAATAGCGATTAAGCCCTTGTAATTGTCATCCCCTCCCTTGTATGACACAGCCAACCGCTCGCCCGAACCATCCCAGGCTATCTTCTCGATTCCCTCGCTGCATTTTTTGTCGCTCAAACATCCAGTTATTTCTCAGAGGGGGTTATTAGCAATTCAAGGAAAGGAAAGATATTGTGAAGGACAGTTTATCTTTAACGACAATAAATATATTTACCTCCCAGTCAAAGAAGCAATCTCGGGCAAATCAACGGGTAAAAGGTGGGCATCTGAAAATATGTTTCAGCGTTAATAGGGATCTAACTGATAGAGATCAAACCTTGGATTTGCATACCTAACGATGGTGGCTTTGATGAGAAGTGAATAGAACCCAACGTCGAAGATTTGGAGAACGCGATCAGGATTAACCGTCCCTCGGGATCCCACGTCGCTCCCTATCAAGAAGAGAGTATTAGAAATTCCGTCCATTTATACAGTTGAAGAATGATTTTTCATGTACAGAGTTTTCAAAGGCAATGCTCTCTCGACATAAATCACATCATTCTGTAAAGTATCTTACAGTGACAAAGCCAGTAGACGAAGACCATGGCTCAGATGTCCATGTGTTTGTCTCCCACAGGTAAAAGGTTCCATCACTGCAATCCAGAAACAAACAATAGTAATAGCTTAACATATATCCGACATGGATTTTCTACATTTGTAACCAGACAGAGAATTGCTGTCCTACAACTTTGCTGCAAAGAAGTAATCCCCTGTAGGTGACCATTTAAGCATTGATATACCACCAAGTCCACGTCGAATAGGTGTCCCTGCCCCTGGAAAATACGTAGAGATCATTTCAGAAGCTTAGAATTCAATTCAAATAGGCAAGATACATAATCTCATCATTACTCGAGGAGTAAAGTTAAATAACGGTATTCTGATTAATCAATGGAGACTAGTCACTGATATGTTACAAGCCGAACACAGATTCCATAGATTTTCATACTATTCAGCATTCTCCATTACCATTGTAACTGGACTGTTATGAGCAAACATCTTAGGAACAAATTTTAGCAACGATGAAACATGAAAAGGGCAAAGAAGTGAACTTGGCTATAGAAAGGAAAGCATTCTAAAGAAACTCCTGTAAATTAATCTTTTCTTACCCTGAGCAACATCCCATATGGTAAAAGACGAGCTGTCGTATGAGGCTGAAGCTAGATATGTGAAAAGACGTCATGGAATAACATGATGAACAAACTAAGGGTTCCATGATGTGAACAAGAAACGAAATCAACCAATGCACTCCAACAACAGTTTCTCGTGAAAAGACCTCGAGTTAAGAACTAAGGAAATAGAAAGAAATCTTTAGCCTTGTGTAATCAATATGTAAGGATATCTTCCACAGGGACTCCATGACAGAGCACTTATCTGCTCATCATCACCACATCGAAGAAAATCCACCAAAGTCCAGCGAGTTCCAGTTCCCCGAGAGATACTTCCTGTCAAAGAGGAGCCACGAGATCTGACCAATGCCATGTTACCTGGATAAGAAGCAGCCCAAATGCATACCCCTCCCCTGATTCAATGCAAGAGTTGCCACTGGCCTGGTGACTTTTTCCTTTTATCATTAAAAACAGGCAAACACAAAATCACAAGACAGAAAAATTTTACACACCGACAAGCTACCGAGAGAGATTTTCCACCATTGGGCCTCCAATCAAGAGCTTTAACATTCCTCTGGGAATCGCTTGTCAAAATGCAAGGCTCTTTCTCCTCTGCATAAAATAAGAAGTCAGTGTGTATCCGATTTTCTGAACCACATGCAGCAGAAGCTGGAATAAAAACATAAAAACCAGACCCTTGTCCTCGTAATCACGGATTGTAACTTGACTTGGACCAGAAATAAAGGCAATTGTGTGCCTGTGTTGATGCCAACTCACTCCTTGAAGATCAATTTCTGACAACAGCCTCACCTACGAAATATCGTATAGAGAGATTATGAAGTTAAACGAAGCCATGGCTTTATTCTAAAGCTACAGGAAATGCCAATCTGATATCTCACGATTGAAGATATCCTGAAATGACATATAATAGCATCATTCCCCAATGTACAGTAACTATAAACGATGAATAATTAGTCCTTCACCAAACACTGTTATGTATATCTTCCACCATTTATACAGATGAACGATAACAATAAGAAACCATATTGACAAGGAAACTAATAGAATCTTACATCAGTGGGATGTAAAAGGCCTTTAACAGCGACTTGCAGCATCGCCACCAGACCTTTCCTTTCAACACTTCCCATGTCTCCTCCCTCATGTTGTTCATTTTCCCTGCTGAGGGCTAGGTCCCAACTCGAAGGAAACAGGATCGAATACCATTCCCTGCAATAAACGAACCCAGATTTGGAAAATATCATAAACCAGACTAGAAATCGTCAATACAAACCTGGGTAAACGCCATTCATACGCCTGAGGTTTATATGAAATTGACAGAGAAAAAACACATTAAGTACGTACAAGAAGCTTTCCATAAGTCTCCTCAGCTCGACCGTCAGACAAACTCTGAGCCGTGACTGCATTTCGTACATCCGATCATGAATCCATCAGCTCAGAAATTCAAATCCCTAAACCCAATTTCCCGATAGGCATTTCGAAGACTACACAAAAATGGGTAGCACTGGGCGCGCGAAAAGAATCACTTACTCAAGTCTCTGTTGATCTCGCAGACGGTAACCGATCCGGGATGAGGAAAGGAAGCCATTATTTACGGCCTGAAACTTGATATCAGGTTGATACGCACTGAAAAGTGGAAGTGACCACCCAAGTGTTTCTGGCTCCAAATCTTAGCGAAAACTTCTAAGCTGAGGCTCAATCACTCGATGAGTGTAGAATTGTCACCGGATCGGAAGGGGAAGCGGATGAGAGCGATGGCTCGTCGTCGCCGGCAAGCCGGAGAAATGAGACGGAAAATGGGGTGAGGAGGCAGTGAACCGGGAAAGCAAGAAATTAAGGGTTTTGAACTTTTTAATTCCGACATTAAATAAAATTTCAAAAGAAGCCCTTAACTTTTTTAAAAACGTATAAAGCCCCCAGAGTTCTTAAGTTACTTTTGAAAGCCTCAACGGGAAATAAACCTAAAGTAAACGCCGTTAGATTGTAATGACGTGGCTAACGGGACAGAGTACCGAGAAACGACGCCGGCTCCAGACCAGACCACACTTAAACGGTGTCGTTGCCCAGCAAAAACTTTCTCCCCATGTCCCGCTTCTTCCTCTCCAGTGTTTTGGGGTTCCTCTTCGGTCGGCCATCGATAGACTGCCAAACAGTTCTACTCTGTTGGAGGTCGGTTTGGTCGCTTTCTCCTTCGGTTTCGCATCCCGGGGACAGATTTAAGGTTTCGGTAAAGTTGCATCTGTGTCTCATCTATCTTTGTTCGTTGTAATTGATTTAGGGTTCATGGCAGGGTTTAGTGGGGGAAAATCACCCAAATAACCCACTTTGGGTCGCATCTATTTCAGTGTACACCCGTTTAGTGGATTTAGCGTTCTGGGTTTCGGGAAAATAAGGAGACGAGGTCAAATATTTCTTCAATCGTGAAATAGACTTCACTATCCCAGTGGGTTTTGCTTTTCATTCGAAGCTTTACTTCTTTGATCAATCGGAGAAAAGGTCAAATGTTTCTGCTGAATTGTGCTTGATTTCAGTTCTCTTCTACATCAATTCGAGAATATATACACTTCTGTCGAATTCTGGACTTTGGGAAAACAGCTAAGTTGTTGATTTGAATTCTGCTATAATTTGGCACTGCCCCCAGGCAAAGTAGTTCGCAGTGGATAGATAAATATTTCAGGTCTAGCATGCATGAAGAGAATCTGTTCAATTATTGGGTCTTTTCCCGGATTTCTTCCTCTCTTGTTTGAGGAAATTTCTGAGAAAATGTATCTCGTGGTAGATCTGAATGTGGATTAGAGACTCTCTTTGATTGGTTTTTGGTGAAGAGTTTAATTGATCAATGAAAATCAACCTATAGCGTCTGGTGCTTTTTCAAGTGAGATTGGTTCATTTCCTAGAGGAATCAACCTGAGGGCAATTAAGATTTTCTTGAGTTTGGTCAATTTCAGGTGAAATCCTTCTTGGGTTCTTTCGTAAGTGGGTATACTTTTTGTCTCACCTGTTTCCATATGTTCCGGGAAGCTCCTCCAGGGCAGCGGAGTCAACCAGGGATCGCCCCTAAGGATACTTGAGACGGATCAGGAGGAATCCATGGCATTATGATACACCGTAGTGTATGCATGGAGATACGTGAGGAGAGCCAGTGACTTGATTCATGGAATTGATGATGATGATGCTGATGCATATTTATGTTTGAATGTGCTGCTTCTCTGCATTTCCTGTAGGATATGATTTCTCTGAAAATCTTGAGATACACTAGTATTAGGGAAGTTGTAACTCAGCAACATTCCATAAAGTTGTCATTTAGCCCCTTTCATTTATACATCCAGAGGAGATGGCTAAAGCCTGTAGATTCGGCACAAACTCGGTTGGAAAACCGAACAAGGGATCATCGTTTGGACAAACTCATCGTCCACCACAGGAAACTGAAGATCATCCTTGAAATAGAGAAATTCATGTCCTGCAAAAAGCGTGGCCCATTTGTGTCTGTACAGCTGATGTCTCGTTGGAAAAACGTCGTTGGCTTGAACATTGGGGTTGGAGCCTTCATCCGCAAATACCCTCATGTCTTTGAGTTATTTAGTCACCCTGCCCGGAGGAATTTGTGTTGCCGGATGACAGATAAGATGAGGGCTTTGCTTGACGAGGAAGGGAATATTATTAGAGCATGTGAAGCGAATGCAGTCATGCGGATAAAGAAGTTATTGCTGATGTCAAAAAATAGGGTTCTTCATGTTCATGCATTGAGGTTGATCAGGAGAGAGCTGGGTTTACCTGAGGATTTTAGAGATTCGATTTTGGCCAAGTATATTTCAGATTTCAAGTTAGTTGATCTGGAAACTGTGGAATTGACCGATGCAGATGAAAGTTTGGCTGTGGCTAATGTAGAACAATGGAGGGAGAAAGAATACAGAGAGAAATGGTTGAGTGAGTTCGAGACAAAGTTCGCATTCCCTATCGATTTTCCCACGGGATTCAAGATCGAAAGGGGTTTCAGAGAAAAGCTAAAGAATTGGCAAAGGCTTCCTTATGTAAAGCCTTACGAGAAACATGATGTTAGAAAGGGTCATACTCGTGGAGGGGTAGAAAGATTTGAAAAGCGAGCTGTCGCTGTCATTCATGAGCTACTGAGCCTAACAGTAGAGAAAATGGTTGAAGTTGAAAGATTAGCTCACTTCAGAAAGGATCTCGGGATGGAAGTCAACATCCGGGAATTGCTCTTGAACCATCCCGGCATTTTCTACATATCTACAAAGGGCGGAATTCAGTCTGTGTTTCTCAGAGAAGCCTATAGCAAGGGCTGCTTGATAGAGTCAAATCCAATATACAACGTGCGAAGGAAACTGTTGGACCTCGTCTTGTTAGAGCAGCGTTATACCAGAGAACTGCAGACTCAAGACGAAACTCTGGATGAGGAGAGTGATGATTGTGAAGAGGAATGGATGAAAGGAACAAGGGATGGAGACTGGGTCTTACCGATTTTAGAGCACGAGGCTGACTCCTTCCCCGAGTAAATAACTCGAGAACAAGATCTATGATTGGAGGGAACTCTGGATGATGGTTAGCTTCCATTCCTTATTACAGTTTCTCTACTTTTTTTGGTTTCTAAACCCTAGACAGAAATGCAACCAACTCTAAACAGTTGTATGGGTGGAAGAAACTCATATTTCCGAAGAATTTGGAGAACTAGTCTATTAACGGGCTGTCACAGCGTTTGTAATGTCTCGTTCTCGTGCTTGCCCTTACGCGAAAGTGGTAATCTTTCCTGAAGCACAATGATCTTGGCCAGGTATTGTTTTTAAAAGTTCATTGCTCTGTAACTCTGTGTCAGTTCGAGCCTCCTTCTCAGCGCCCATTACCTCATGTATATCTTATAAATGTCTTTTCGGCTTGCTAACTCTCTGTTATTTTTCCTCTGTCCGTTCCTTGTTCAGGTGATTTGCAGGTCCCCGAACGAAGGCTACGAACTCGATATCGATATTCCCGAGCTCTCTCGGTGGGAAAAGGAAGAAAAACCCTGTGTTGAAGTCGCTTTGGATGTGATGACGGTAACAAGCAAAGCCATGGATTGTACCATTGGGAGCAGGACAGGACCACATACAAAGGCAGAGGAGACTGGCCATGTTTTCCCAAGACATGATTGTGAAGAACATCCATCCTTGTGTTCGAGTCATCCATTAGCGTATCCCGACGTAACAATACCAACATCATATGAATCTGAATTAATTCGAATGTATAAACAAAGCTTTTCTTTCTTGCTTCAACTTAATATACGAAAAATTGGGATATTTAAACTTTGGTTATCTAAGAAATGGTCGGATATTTTTTACTTTAACTCGTCTAAATTAAATAATAGAAGTCCAATTTGAAACTAATTGAAGAATCTAAAATTTTATTAATAAAAATCAAATGTAATGCGGATCTAATATAAAAAAAAAAAAAAAATTTAAAATTAAAAAAGAAATTGATTTAGTAAATAACAGTAATTCGAAATAATCATTATTTGTCAGGCCCAAGGAAGCGGCCATTGAAGCGCCACGAATTCTCTCCTCTCTTCAAATGAGAGAGCCGGAGATTCTTTGTTCTTCCAATTCCCATTCCGTATACCGACACAGGCACAGGCTCAGGCTCATATCCGTATCAATCTCTGATCAGTTGAGATTTTCCGAAGATTCCTGGATTCGTCAATGGCGGATCACTACCAGGTCTTAGGCGTGAAGAGAAACGCCACCAAGGAAGAGATCAAGACGGCGTTTCGGAGATTGGCGGTGAAGTATCACCCGGACAAGCACACGCGGTCGCCGGAGCACGTTCGAAGAAACGCCATGTCCCGTTTCAAGCTGGTCTCCGAGGCCTACGACGTCCTCAACGACGATCTCAAACGCGCGTCCTACAACGCCGCTAACGATTCCGATTTCCTCCGCCGCACCGGCTCTTCCTACAGAAACCCGTACGGGAATTATGGCGGCGGAGCGAATGGTTCTTCTGGCTATGGATATGGTTACTCTGCGAGTAATCATCATCGTCACGGCTCCAGCTTCAGTAGCGCCTTTGAGTCGTTCTTTCATTACATGAGAACACGGGCGTTTCTCCTCAATCTTGCTTTTGCTGGGTAATTAGTAATTTCTGCTTGAACTCTTTTTGTTCTGTCGAGTTTTCCTTCTGATAGATTTCGAGAATTCTGCTGAAATTGATGAATTTATCCTTGATTTTGCTGTTTATTATGCGAAATTCTCAATTGTATATCATGATGTTAGATTCGCCAAGAGCACGGGTCATGGCAACTATGTCAATCGTGTGGTTTAGCTAGGGTTCTTAGTTTCACCATGCCCTTTCTGGTTAAGTACTTCGTAGTTATCGAATTGCTTTAAACAATAGGATCTGATTAAAGATGCTGATCTTACATCCCTAATCGTCATAGTACTTCGTAGCAATCCATTTATATTATTGCTTCAAGCAATAGTATCTGATCCTCATATCTAGTGAAATCTGGTAGACTTTTCAGAAACTTGGGTTCTTAGAATTGATTTCAGTAACTAATGTGATTTGATTGGATGCCTCATCCTGCTGATTATATATCTGATCATTGTGGGGTGTGTTGGTTCTGATTTCTTTTGAGCAACTTGCGTGGCATTCTGGCTCAAGCGGTCTCTAATGTTTTTTTTTTTCATTTTCCAGTGGATTATATTGTGCGTTTTTAGCGATCGAAACAAGCGGAGAAACTCTATGGAGAATGCGTAACTCGGGGGTAAGTTGCTATTGAATTCGAGTCTCTAATCAAGTTTTTTGCTATACACGGTACATCCCTATCCAAGCTCATGGCATATTCTTCTGCTGAATCCGGTTTTATAAAGTTGGGGAAAATGCAATGAATTGGACAACCTTAGTGTGCATTGTCCCAATATGTAGTGTAAAACCTCATATAAGAGATTCTGATGAAGTACTTTGGGAGAATTCAGATCAGGTAGATGTCGGGGTTAGGCCATTGAATAGTTGTTCTGAAGCAATTACCATCCAACCTATGTACACACTACTTGACCATTCTGAAAGGATGATCTTATAAGAGTATTATAAGATAGATATGTCGATGTGTTAGCACTGCAACTATTAACAAGAACGCGTTTCCAGAGTTTGAGTAGTTGGAATCCCTTGAACGGCTTTGGAGGACCGTTCTCCCTCCCGCCACACAATTTCACCAAAAACCTCCATAGGCTTTTATTAATGAAACAAAACTCCTGTAGTTAGAGGCGGCTTGTTAGGGGTGGGCACGAATAGGGATGCAAAAACGAGTCCGACGAACCAGCTCATTACGAGCTGAGTTTGTCACGGACCAGCTCGATCGACCTGCGAGTTGGGTCGTGAGCCGAAAAAGAAATTTCAAAAACGGATCGTAACCGGGCCGAGTCAGTCCGTTTTTTCAAACGTTATCTTACGAGATTTGGGTTTTCACTGCGTGTGGTTTTTTTTTTTTTTTTTTTTTTGGTTATATTTGTTTCAGAAATCATTTGAAGAAGCGATGGAAGCCATGGAGAAAACAAAGGCACACAAGGATGAAGGGTGAGACAGCAGATGTGAGACAGCAGATGAAACCAAATCCAAAAGGTACCTTCTGCTTCTACCACGCATACAAAATCTCAATCATCTGAAAGAGAGAAAACGAGTTGCATGCTTTGATATTCGCGTACATATGTTCGGAACGCAATGCGTAACGCATTTCTTTACCGTCTCCGTATTGCAATGACCCATCTCCACCGCCATGACCATCATTATCATCGCCATGATGGCCATGACATTGCATGTTTTCTTCATCGTTAGAGCCATATATAATCAATGTGTATATATATACGCGATCTTGTTCTTCTGTGTTTTTTTTTTTTTTTTTTTTTTGGTTATATTTGTTTCAGAAATCATTTGAAGAAGCGATGGAAGCCATGGAGAAAACAAAGGCACACAAGGATGAAGGGTGAGACAGCAGATGTGAGACAGCAGATGAAACCAAATCCAAAAGGTACCTTCTGCTTCTACCACGCATACAAAATCTCAATCATCTCTCGATTTTATCAAAAACGAAACCTTTATCTCTCATTGTTCTTTTGTATCATAATATCATAATATGGTCTTATACCAAAAAAAAATATCATAATATGGTCTTCGTCTTCCGTCTCTTTCAGAGTAAATAAATGTATAATTCGTATCATCAAAACCCCGCCATGTTGGCAAGTGTGTGCTTATCTGTTGACTTGGCCGAGAAACTATCGTTTACTTTGACATTATTGTCCTGACGATTGTTATCATCAATTTCCTCCTCTTACGAAATGATATCCCAAACAAAATATATAAATTACTAATGAAACATATTTTAATTCCCAAAAATAAAAATATGAACAGAGTCGACACCTTAGCCCCTAAGGAAAGAGGGAAAAAGCCTAACACTAAACTACCGCATCACATTACTTTCCACGACTCCAGCGTCGGGTAGTTATCGAGCTCCGCCGCACTCGACTGTATAGAAGTGATCGGTGAAGACCATGATCCCGCTCCCCCGCCGGAAAAACCATTTTCACCCGCCACCGCCAGGTTCTTCTGGTCATGGTTCGACAAAAACGCCGATGTATCGATGCTATCGAGCATCGGGACAACCGATCGGTCCGGCGACAGCTCATTCGCCCGCTTATGCGGTTCCGGCTTCACGATCGGAACGAGAATGTTGTGGGATGAGCTGATGAACTTGGCGCCGGTTACCTGCTGCACCATCTGCCGGAAATTCGCCGGATCTGCTGTTATGAACGTCGTCTGAGATTTTTTCGACGGTCGAGATCGCCGCTTCGGAGGTTTACCAGCAACACCAGCTGGAGCGCCCTTGCGTTTCCGTTTTGTGCCGAAGGAGGAGTCCGGATCGGAGACGTTGGATAGAGTTGACACCGGCGCCGGAGATGGCGATGAGACGGCGGGGGAACCGAGGAAGGCTGTGGGAGAGAGAGGGTCCGGCGGGAGGAGAAATGTGTCGTGGTTCTGAACGGTGGAAATGGACTTGTGGAGAGCTATGGTGAGCAAATCGCTGTCGCGAGAGAATTTCGACTCCGGAAACAGCCATGAATCGACGCCGAAGCTCTGCCTCAACGACCATGGCTCCACGCTCGCTAAACCATCCGATGACGCCATAACCAACAGAGATTGATCGAAAGAGGAAAAGAGGAGAAATTATCAGTGCATTATCATGGAGCTAGGATTTACAGAAGATGAAGTAGAGAAGACGCATACACTCCAGAGAGAGTGAGGGTGAAGAAGATGGGGAGGAAGGGGTTTAAATAGGACGGGGGTGGGGGAGAGAGAGAGAGAAACCGCGTGGTGAGGAGAGAGAAATGACACGTGTACGAAGCTCTGACTCAGCTCCGCTCATCTTCTCTCCCCTTCCATCACTTGCTGTTTTATTAATCCATTAGTTAATTGGATAATGACGTTGCTAATTTTCTCTTAATTAATTTCTCATATTTATGGTGAAAAGAGAGAAACAAAGTGATCATTTTTTCACATAATATATATATATATATATGAACATTAACGCAACAGCAAAACATACCAAAATACGTCATTATATTCATTTCGTTGTTGATAAATCAATTGTATCAAAATAATTAAATACAAATAATTAAATGCTGAAAATATTAAGGCGTGCTGTGTGTATATATCGTGACTTGTGAGACTAGCATTCGCAACAAAATCTCAATTATGTATATGATAGGACCCAACTACTACAGAGTATTCTCCCTTCATCGTTTTGTGTACGAATGTGGTCAAGTATAATACGAATATATTTAACCTTCGTGTAATGTATAAGAGAACCTAACTATATATAAATAAGAATTATTTATGATATATGACCATTTTTATATTGTTACTTCGATATGAATTATTTATGATGAAATCCAATTAATTCAGCATTATATACTAGCGATTCGTATTGTAACCACATAATAATAATAATAATAATAAATAAATCGTTAAAATCATTACGAATTAATGGGATATTCAAGCACGCACTTATACTAGTGTATCGATATAAATACGAGGTGATTAGTTTATAAAATTAAATTAAGAGAGAAGTGAGTGGTGGAGGAGGATATTTTAGTATTTCGGTTTTATTTCGAAATTAGATCATTTTTTTTTTTTAAGTATTGCTAACGCCTTTTAAAGTTATACAGCAAGCACATTTCATAAAAAAAAAAGTTATATTCTATGCATATATAATTATTAATTATATATCCCAACAATACTATATTCTCGAAATGTAAATTAAGAGAAGTAGAGTAACGTGGGTGTCGGAGACTGCATGCATGGATAGAACTATAAAAAGAATGTAGAAAATAATTGACGGTCAAGCCACGTCATCTCTTTACGCGTTTTCACGTCTCCCTATGTTATTTTGGCTCTGCTGCTTTTTTTATTTTATCATTATTTTTTAAACCGTATAATAATATTAATAATTTTATCCTAGATTATAGATTTTAAACTGTAAAGAGCAGAGGCAACTACTGAAATAAGAAAATAATATACGCGACTTTAATCATATTAAAGAGCGTGAATAAAAACAAATGTGGAAATGTTGTAGAACTTGTGGTTTGCAATATGTATTACCCGTTATTTTTCTTTTGGTATATATAATAATCTCATGAATAACAAAATTGTAAACTCTATATTAATAGTTCAATAATCTTTTGGATTACATAGAAATAAATAACAAAACCGGTATTAATTATTAATTAATACTTTTCAAGATTTTTTTTGTAAAATACTTTTCAAGATTGTAGTTAAAGATTTTGTATTGTCAATAAAGCCCAGAAAACGACCTTAGTCAAACGGTACATTTATATCTATAATAATTAAAAGACAACGATAATTTCGGCTTTGTTATAAAAAAAATACTTGTTGATATATTATTAATCTGATCCCTAATCTTATATTAATTACTTCCCAGCTTTTGTTCAAAATAATAATTCTTTTTATCAAAGGTCCTCAATTATAAGACGCAATCGATGACGTCAGTTAGCCGACGTGATCATGACGACATGATGACGCTAATCATAGAAGTTTAAATCCGCTTTTGGGAAAGAAATCAATTTGGTAATTAAATAAACAATTAAATAAAATTTTAATTTTTAAAAAAAAAAAAGACGAGGGTTTTGGAACAACGTTGACTTTGGGGAAGAGGCGGTCGACTCCTTGCACCGAAAGCTTCGGGATTATTCCAAGACACTGACACTCTTGTCTTGTCTCCCCTCTGTTATGTTTTTTTTTATGAAATATGAATTTTATTATCCAAAAATATTTTAAAATTGCGTGCATAAATTTAATTTAATTTATATAATCAAAGAATAAAATTATTAACACAATTAATAAAAATAGTGTAATAACGTAGACTACATTGTTGTAATTAGTATGTAAATAGCAGATTGGGTTGCAACGGTATATTTATTAAGTTAATAATGGTTTATTAATTAATCATATGATCATATAATATGTTTTGATTTATTAGTAACTAATTGTTTTAATTTTCCATTTTTGTCATTTCAAGAATAACTTCTTAATGTAAAATTGACGCAAAACCAAATATATATTTATTATAATCGGTAGACCGTCATTGATTTTGTTTTGTTTTGCGAAAATAAAAATAAACAAACTTAAACTCGAGAGGGTTAGTTATTGCGGACATGGCGGAGAGATGTTGGTATTCAACCATCCCATTCAATTGCGACAAGTAATAAGTGTTATGAGTGGTGTATATTACAAATTTTATTAATTTTAAATCATTATTATATAAAGATTAATTTTTTTCAAATTTATAAAGTTAAGATCCATCCAATTTTTATTTTGAATTCCAATTTAATTTTCATTTAAAAAATGTTTCTATTTTATTTTGTTATTATTTTTTATTTTATTAATATTTCACTAATTTTATTTTAAAAACATCATATTATTTTTAAAATTTACCTCGAATTCAATTTATCTAAATTACATATTATACGATTTGTTTATATTTATTCTTTTTATAGCCACCGCACACGTAGATCACCGGTTTAATATCGTTTTCAAAACATTGGGCCTTTCGTCTCATATTGAGCCTTGGATTCTGGGCTTTGAGCCCAATATATATTTGCTAGCTAGGGTTTAAAATCAATTTGGGGCTTTCCATAGTCGCGAATTGAAATTGGAAAAAGATTCATCTTGTTCTTGCCGTTTTATTTTTCTCCGGGAAAAGATTATTACAGTTACAGGTCGAGATTGGAGATGGGAGAAGAATCGATTCAGCAGAAGGATTCTTCTTTTGTTCATCACCAGACAGCTATTTATGGTTATGCAAATTCTTCAGCTCACGACCAGTCTGCTGACATTGAAGTTGCTGCAAGAAATGCTGCTCTCCGCGAACAAGTAAGAAAACAAATTCGCTGCCCTTTGTTCGATTAAGCCCCATTTCTTTATTATTTGTCTTGGCGAAGAGCGCACTAATCGGGTTTATTCCGTGTTGTGGATTCCAGGAGATTGAAACCCAGAAGATCATACAAGGTCAAAGGTTCTTGTCTTTCCCTTGTTTTTTGTTTTGTTTTGTTTCTGTGTATGTATCCGTGTATGTACCTGTATATGAGGATGTATTACGGACATTGCCTGGAAAAAGTAAATTTTTTTTAGCTTTTTCTTTCTTTTTTGGGTGCTTAATCGGATATTTTCTCGATTTCAGAGATTCTGGGGCTTCTGTGGGAGGAGAATTTAAGGATAATACTGACATTCTTTCACACCGTGCTGACCCAAATGCTCTAAAGGTTCTGAATCCTGCATTCCTATTTGTTCCACCGTGTAGTTGATAGGTTGTGCCTTAATGGCAGACATGAAAATGGAAATGGAATTCGCGATATTGCTTCGGCGATTTCTTATTAGTGATGCAAGGTTGACATGTTCTATTTGATCTGCAGGAACATTTGCTTAAATTCACTGCAGACCATCGAGCAGAAATAGCAGCAAAACGTGGGAAACCCGCTACATCTGGGGAAGGTTAGTCATGAACTAAAGTACTGGATAGTGGATATTTCCACACAGACAGAATATACAGTGTGATTTTTTGTCTCTGGTTCGTCGGCCTGATTTGATTTACTTACGGGAGGTTTTCACCCTGGGAACTATTGGTTTTGTTGTTGTTTGTTTGTTTCAGGTAACATAGATGTTGGAAATGGTTATGGTATACCGGGGGGTGGTGCTTATGCAGCTTTGCAGCCCGAACTTGGCGGGAATTCTGACATGAAGTCTTCCACCAAAGAATTGCCTGAGTATCTCAAGCAGAAATTAAGGGCCAGGGGTATTCTCAAAGATGATCCAGAAGTAGCTGTTCCGTCGTCAAATGCACAAAATGTAATCGTTTCTCTTCACACACATCCCTTCTCGGAGGATGGGCTTTTATTTTACATCACCATCTTTTTGGAAGGGTTCTTACTTGTCTTCTGTGTTATTTCCTTTCTTTTCTCATCCTTTGTATTCTTGATGAATCGGTGGAAGTGTGTTCTTTCGTCTTACCATTTCATTTCTTGTTATTCTTACCTTTATTGTTTTGTTTGTAAATTTTGTTCTACCAGAATTTGGAGACCAGTTGGAATAGACAGACAAGTTTGCCTTCTTCTGCAAATTCGGGTGTTTTGCCTCCCGGATGGGTATGAATCACATAGATTTAATATTCGTTTTCCTCTGGTTCAATGTTTAACGGATTTTATTAGAGCAGGCAAAGATTTTTTTTTCTTCACATTTTCCGTTAAGAGTTCAGATACTTCATGATATTTGCATCACATTTCCCGATCGGCCTTTCGTGTTACTGATAAAAAGCAGATATTAGTTTTTCTTCTTCCTCTTAACGTTTTCAGTTTCTTCAGGTAGAAGCGAAAGACCCTACAAGCGGTACACTGTATTACTATAACCAACAAACTGGAACAAGCCAGTGGGCAAGGCCTGTTGAAGCATCTTCCACGACTTTAAGTGCATCATCATCTTTGCCTCCTGCAGAATGGATTGTATCCCTCGATGAAACCAGCGGTAAGCCATTACTCCTCATGACTACTCTTACCGATGCGTCATGTTTTAATATAAAAAGCTCTTATGTTGTCATCTCCTGTTTTGGCTTTTGCTCTAGCTATCAAACCTTGATCTGTCTCCTCGTATTGTACAAAGTTTTTCAAGTAAATTATTTTTTAGACCATGACAGAACGAAGAAGGGGAAATTTGAGTGGAAATATGTGTCTTTATGATTAAAGTTCTTCGTCTGTTTGATTGCAAACCTGAGTTATGAACCTTTTTACTTCTTAATGATCAGGCCATAAGTATTACTACAATACAAAGACACATATGTCGCAGTGGGAGACCCCAGATTGCTTAAGGAAAGCTTCTTCTTTAAACTCTAGCAATATGGTCCCGACAAATGCCGCTAATGGACAGAACGAGCATCCTTCATTACAGCTTCCGAGATGCAGTGGATGCGGTGGCTGGGGAGTGGGCCTTGTTCAGAGCTGGGGATATTGTGCCCACTGTACTAGGTAGGAATATATTTATCGTCTACCTACACTTGTCAGTTTCTTAAACTGGAGAATGTCTTGCTTAAATTGAAGTGTGCAAAAAAAAAAAAGCATTCTCTCATGGCGGGTCTGCTCTCGTTTACTGGTTCGTGTCCTTAGAAAAGTAGTCTTATATGATGTTTGCTGGTACGTGATGTATGTGGCTAAAGTTGCATGGGCACCAGTACTTTTTCATTGCATCGTTCAGTAAATGTGTGCAACTATATTGTAAATCTCTGTACCCGTTTGATAAACAAGTGTTACTTGAGCCTTCATTAAGAAGTGGTACTTATTCATATAAGCCTTTATTAATAAGACTGTGTCACTGTGATGGTTATATGCAATGCAGAGTTTTTAACCTTCCACAGCAGCAGTACTTGCCGACAAATGCAGGAGATTCTGGTAGAAAGGAGCTGAATCAGAGGTATGTGTCTCTCAGAATTTTCTTTTTGAAAGTGTTTTGCAAGAATCTTCTTTCTCGCCTGCCCTCTTCGAGTCCTGCATAATTAGAATGACATGATCTCGTCTAGGGTTAAAAGAATGGTGTAACGATATTATGCCGATAATTTTTTTTTGTGGACGCTGATATGATCGGGGATTCTGTTTTGTTTGGTTTTTCGATGGTGACTATGATATAAAAAAAAAATCTCCCTTGGCAGCAACAAGAGTGGTTCGAAACCTCCTATGAAAAAGGGATTTAAAAAAGATGGCGGAAGAAAGCGTGCTTATACTGAGGACGATGAGTTGGATCCAATGGACCCGAGCTCTTATTCGGATGCTCCTCGAGGCGGCTGGTATGTACAAAAAACAAAAAACCCTTTTTCACCAGTTCTACTGCTGTTTTGATCCATCTCAAATCGAGAAGTGTATACACACACACACCAAATTATGAGCCATGCTCTTGCTCCTGCAGGGTCGTAGGGCTGAAAGGAGTTCAACCACGTGCAGCCGACACCACTGCCACTGTAATGCTTGAAACCCCGTTATCCCTTTCGGCCTGAACAACAATATTTATAGAGTTCTAAACTTTACGCTGAACATTTTTCTCATATATGTTTTCAGGGTCCTCTGTTTCAACAGCGGCCATACCCATCTCCTGGAGCTGTGTTAAGAAAGAACGCCGAGGTAGCGTCTTCACACACGAGGAAATCATCGTCGTCTTCTCGTTTCACTCCTATTACTAAGCGAGGTGACGGAAGCGACGGTCTCGGGGATGCGGATTGAGTTTTTTTACTCGTTCTCGTCCCGCCGTTTTTTTTTTTTCTGTACAAGCAGTCGTAAAGTAGGTGGGATACCAAAAAAAACTCAGGAACAGGTGTTTATGAAAAAAGGTAAAGAAATGGAGCTAAGAGACAATATTTCATGTAAATGTTACTGCAGCTCTCTTCCCTGTGTTCCCGAAGGCCAGTTTTGTAGATTACATAACTTGTGTTTTGAGCATAGGATAATAATTTAGAAAACGGTCCTTAAGACAGGACAGAATTGGCTTATTCTGATTTCGGTTTGGTTATATTTGGATATAGTTATTTAGGTTTTAGAAAAACGATCTTTCGGTTTTTGTGTCGGTTTCAATTAGAGGTGGACATTTCGCTATTTGGTGCGGTAAATGTTTAGTTTAGTTTCTTTTGAGTCTAAAAATATATATCAATCAGTTATATTTCATATTCGAGTTGATTTCGGTATGGTTTGGTTTTTGTTAAGAAAATTTTCGATTTTTTTAACAAATTTTTCGGTTTTTTAGATTTTTTTTAAAATTCGATTCGATTTCTGAAAATTCAGTTTGTTTTTAAAATTATTATTCATGAATTTTGGGCGATTCGGTTTAAGAATGGTATTATATTTTTTTTAGTTTGGTACGGTTTGATTACGAAAGACCATAGCAAAACGCACTCCCTAATATGGATTGCGAATATCCCAACAAATGCTTCCAAATCAGATCTATCCTAATTTTAAAATTGTAAAGAGTTGGCAACTTGGACATAAATATTAAAAAAATGTTCGTCTTCCAAGACAAGAACATATTGGATGACGGTTCATATATATTTGATCGTTCACTTGCCACAGCCATTGTAGCAGACGCATTGACGAAGCGACCATAATCCCACACAAGCGCCCCGTTTATACCTGTGGGCGTATGTGCATGCATCTGTGGTTGCAATCACTGCAAGACGTACCATCTCTGAAGTAGGTCGAGACGTACCAAGAGGCATGGACAAGAAGACGGATTGAAGGATATGGTTGTTGGAACTGAAGTTCTTGGCCACATATTGCAGATTATGTTACTGAGACTGTGGCAGCTGAACCTAAACTCTACTGACAATTCCTCTGGATGGAACTGAAGTTTGCATACATGCACATGCTTTTATGCGTTCATGTTAGCGGTAATTCTTGCTAACACTGAAGCAGAAAAGAACTTTGATTGAATAGAAAAATATTTTATATAGTTTATATGTTGGTAAATCAATTGCTTTTCCAGGACAAGAACATATCTAAGATTAAAAATGAATTTAATAGGCCATCGGAAAGCCCAATACTGATAAGGGCTGACATCGCTTTCGTCTGCAAAATCTTAAAAGGGTAAATATGTAAATTAACATGGCGCATCAATAAATTCATGCCGAGGGCCGATAATCTCCAAACCCTAGAAGACTCTCCAAGATTCTTTCTTTTTAAAAGATTAAACCGCGATTCCGCCATGGCAAGGAAGAGGAAGCTTGGGTCGAAACCGACCCAGGCGTCGGAGCCTCCACAGAAGCAGCAGCACATGGCGGAGCTACCTCAACAGCAACATGATCAGCTGGAAATTAGGGACGGCGAGAATCAGTTGGACGGCGATGAAGACGTGGAATACGAGGAAGTGGAGGAAGAACAAGAAGAGGAAGTCGAGGATGATGATGATGATGCCGAGGAAGACGATGGAAATGGCAGGGTAGGAGGTGAGAATCTGACGGTGGGATATCGTTCGGAGGCGGATATGTCGGGATCTGGGAACGAGGGAGTTGAAGAAGCCGATGAGCCGATTGAGAATCTCTTGGAACCATTCAGTAAGGATCAATTGGTCAGTCTCCTCAAGAAAGCTGCGGAGAAGCATTCCGATGTCGCGAATAAAATCCGGAAGGTGGCGGACGAGGATCCTGTTCACCGGAAGATCTTTGTGCACGGGCTTGGATGGGACACCAAAGCCGATACACTTATTGAAGCGTTCAAGCAGTATGGAGAAATCGAAGATTGCAAGGCCGTTGTGGATAAGATCTCCGGGAAATCAAAAGGGTATGGTTTCATTCTCTTCAAGTCACGGTCTGGTGCTCGTAACGCGCTCAAACAGCCCCAGAAGAAGATCGGAAGTCGGATGACGGCGTGTCAGCTGGCTTCCATCGGACCCGTGCAGGGCAACCCGGCCGCGGCGGCTGCTTCGGCGCCTGTTCAGCATTCTACCTCAGAGCACACCCAAAGGAAGATTTATGTCAGTAACGTAGGGGCGGAGCTCGATCCCCAAAAGCTGTTTGCGTTTTTCTCGAGTTACGGAGAGATTGAAGAAGGTCCCTTGGGGCTTGATAAAGTCACAGGGAGACCGAAAGGCTTCTGCTTGTTTGTCTACAAGTCCCCGGAAAGCGCCAGGAAGGCTCTAGAGGAGCCGCACAAGAACTTTGAGGGCCATGTATTGCATTGCCAGAGAGCAATTGACGGGCCGAAATCGGGGAAACATCATCACCATAATTCACACAACCCTAATCCTCGTTACCAGAGGAATGACAACAGTGGTTACAATGCAGGTGGAGGTCACGGACATCTCATGGCTGGTAACCAAGCTGGGATGGCTGCTCAAGCGGCACAGGCTCTAAACCCGGCTCTGGGTCAGGCCCTCACAGCCTTGCTTGCGACGCAGGGTACTGGATTTGGATTCAATCCAGCAATTGGGCAGGCTTTGTTGGGGTCTCTTGGGGCTGCTACTGGCGTGAACCCTGGAGCTGCAGGTGGAATGCCTGCTGCTTATGGCAATCAAGCAAATATTACACCAGGGGTCATTCCTGGTTATGGTTCTCCGGCTGGCTATCCGAGCCAGCAACCCGGGCAAGGCAGTGGTGGAAGAGTACAGCATGGTGTCGGACCATATGGTGCTCCTTACACGGGTCACTAGATGTACCCACTCTGGTATATAGATACAGCCCCTTCTTTTTGTTTTCAGTTTACGTGGGCATGAATTGAATGAGTTTTGACGCTGGTATGGTGATCTCCTATCCGTTCCTTTGTTTTTGACAAGGGCTTATTCATTGTGCACTCTAGTTGGTAGAATTCGCAGTGTAGTTGGCCATAACAATTCCGTGATGCCTTTTGACAGTTCTTTCCTTCACCAAACTTTATACGCATTGATTCTCATCTGATGCTTTTTGCAATTTATCGAAATTTCTTATATATTTCACAGTTCTTACCTTCTCATTGTTTGGCTGGTTTCTAAAGGATTTTTTGTTTTGTGCCTTTTGTAGTGTGGAAATCTTCTCATTTTTGTTAATTCGCTGTGCAGATATCACAACACAGTGTTTTAGTATTGGCCTGGTGATTCTTCTGAAGTTTATATGGAGCTGATGCAAATGAAGTCTTTATGTTTTGGATGAAATGTTACTCTTTGGCTCCTTCAAAGGCCAGGCTGTTTAATCGTTAAGGAGTTTTAGTTTTTGTCGCCTTGTTTTTCTCGACCCTTTTTATGATATTCGAAATCGTTGTACTATTTTTCAAATCTTCCGAAACGTTCTAAGATCTTTCATGTGTGTAAAAAGTGCATCTTTCGGATGGACAAATGGTTTCTTTCCGGTGCTACGATTTCTCAGTTTATAGTTTTGATTCGATTTCTCTGTTCGACAATTTCAAGTGCTCTCTGCCTGCATTGCTAAATGTGACCAAAACCTTTCACTTCTCAAGATCTTTGTGTTCCATTCTGTTACTTGCATGAGTTTTGAACTTTGTGTTCCATTGGGTAATTGTGTATTATCCCGATTTCCTTGTGCTTTGATAGCCTGACCCTGATTCCCCTTGCAGGTAGCTGTGAGTGCAGGTTGAACAGCCAATTGTATTTGAAGTTAAAAACTTGGGAAATCTTTAGTAAACTCAATTTGATTTTAAAAATGCATTCTTTTTATCCCAAGTTTATGAAGTGCAGTTCTTCTTTCTTATATTCTTTTCTGGAATCCTAACAGCCTCAAGCTATGGAATTTTGGGTTTATGAACAAAGCAAAATGCATTTGTTTTAGTATTTTTTTTCAACGAATTGTGTTTTTAAAGTTTCAAGTTTGCACTCGTTCTAAAGCTGACAACAATGGACTTGTTTCCTTTGCCCTAAAAGTAAACTTTTGCACTGCATGTTTCTCGACACGTCTGAGGTTTTTGGTTTCGTGCTGCTATGGCAGAGGAAGAAGCTCTTGACGGGTCCTTCGAGCGAAAGGTAAGCACTTTTAAGGCGTTATGGTAATCTCGCACTCGGGATATCTCGTGACCATATACTCTCTCGTGGATCGGGGAGAGATCATATTTTTTCTTCGGAGTTCATTTCAATATTCCCCCCTTCCCCGGACCCCGCTCAACGGGGAGATGCTTTGTGCACCGGGCTGCCCATTTTCATTATTCCCCCTGAAAATGTCTTTTGGTACGGCAACAGCCAGTGGGTGGTTTTCCTGCCTTCGCTGTGATGAAATGGAAGAAAGGTGAGCCCTTTTCCCTTGGGTTAACATATAGTTCTTGGCATGTGGAAAATAGAGTTAATAATCACTTCAAGTCTGTTTACTTGGGGATTCAAAACCTTTCTTTTTAATCAGTTAATAAGAGGGTGGGATTTTAATCTAATGCTTTGTGATGATAAGCCCCCTTGTGTTTGTATAGAAGACATAGGGATGGACGTTTCGGGATTCGATTTGAAATTTTAGTTGTTCGGTTTGAGAATGATTTATTCGGTATTCTAAAATTTGTACCAAATTAGTATTGTATATTATTCGGTTCAGTTTCGGTTTTGTTTAAAATATTTAGATTTCTCTTAAACAAATTAGGTTTTTTGGGAATTTTATAAGGTTCGGTTTCGGGAAATTCGGTTTTATAAAAAATATATTGAGATTTTCGGTTCGGTACAATTCGACTTCTCAGAACCGAACCGAAATGTCCATCTTAAGACAAAGTTAGTTGTTGTCTCTACATCATCCATCCACTGTTCATTCTCACATGCTCATTGAACAATGACCATCATGCATTCATTAGCTAACAATATATATATATATAGGTCTCGTCATCTACATTTTTTCTAGCGAAAATTATGATTTTTTTTCATTTTAGAAGAAAAAAATAATTTTGACTTTTGCCAAAAAAAAAAAAAGGATCTGTAATAAAAACTTAATAAAAACTTAGATGATATTTTTTGAAAGATCTGGATATTATAATATTTATTACAAAATTTTTATATGGGAAATTGTAATGAAGATAAAAAACAAACATAAAAAAAAATTGTACAAACCTTTATCCAATTTTATAGGGAGATCAAGAGATGTTTCCATTGATTATGTAGATATGAAAAGTTGTAATTTTTGGATCAAAATATTCCTATTTTATTTTGTTAAAATTATAATGATAATTTGTAATACAATAAACAATCAAAGATATCCACGTAGACCTAAACCAAAAAAAAAAAACATCATCTGTATATGAGTTCAACGTATGAATAATGATGATGCCCACGAAGGCATTTTTGTCGCAAAGTATCTACACTGTCACTTTCTCAGGCGGAGGGTTCTAATACATACGTTATATATAGAGAGAGAGCAGGTGGGGTCCACAGCGAGATTTCTGTTTTGGGCCTTAATGGGCCTTCATTATTTGTTACCAACGAGGCCCAACATGGCGCACACGGGGTTTCGTTCATGGTCTCGCATTATTTTGAGGTTAGGTTAAATAAAACTGTTTTATTTCTGATTTCAATTCATCAGTTTAGTTATTTTTTGTACAAGTTTTTTTAAAAAAGATTTATGCATTATTTTTTGTAGTGTGTATATATATATATATATATATATAATAAATATTATTTAATTTTTTATTGGGTTATTTTGATTAAAATTTACATCTAATAAATGTTATTTTAAAATTTGATTGAACCAAATATTGCTGTGTTATTCAGCTTGATTGGTATCTCTACGATGGTCGAATGCTACAAACAGTAAATTAAAATGGTACGAAACTGTGGATTAGAATAAAACGAGGAATAAATAGATCATTAAATAGACCTCAGAGACTCCTAGAGGAATGAAATAGGTTATCTAGGGAGTCTTAAAACTAATAAATTTGTCACACTTTTCTTACAGAAAATAAATACAAAAATAAATGTAATATATATGAAATATTAAATAGAATAATTACCCTCCCAAAATACCAAAATTGTCTCATTTTGCAGAAATGACATAGGGAGGAGACTTCACAATATTCCCACCACAACGCCACATTCAACTCTCTTTTTTCCACCATTATATGCATCCACGTCATCATTATTTAATCCCATTATTAATGGTCTAATACCAATCTTTCTTAAATAAATATTTTATTAATAATAATAATAATCCACAAACTTTAAACCCTCTCTTTATCGTATACGCATGTATATAAATATACGATCTCTTTAGGACATAACCCACCGAGAGCACCCAACCCAACAAGTTATAAAAAAACAACAAAAAACAAAACAAGAAGAAAGAAGGCGGCGGGGAAGAAGAAGAGGTGAAGAAATCGAAGGCCAAAGAGATGGAACAAGAGAGTGGTTATTCGGACAAGGTTTTGTACTCCTTCCTCGCCGGAAACGACGTCGTCATCGGCGGCGGAGATCACACGTCGACGACCATGCAGAGCTTCTGCGGCTCATCGTCGTACTATCCTCTGGCGATCTCAGGCGTCGGAGAGACGATGGCTCAGGACAGAGCTCTGACGGCTCTAAGGAATCACAAGGAAGCTGAGAGAAGGAGGAGAGAGAGGATCAATTGCCATCTCAACAAGCTCAGAAACGTTCTCTCCTGCAATTCCAAGGTATTTATACGTATATTTATACTTATATGTATCCATCTGCGTGTATGTGTATATGTGTGATTGAAATGGGTATTTTGTGTTCATAAAGGTTCGGTCTTTTATCCATTAATTAAAGTTTTGGTTTTTGAAGATCCAAAAGAAAAAGGTTTTGAATTTTTTTTTCCACTTGATTTGATGGCCGCCGAAATCATAGCCGAGCGATACTTAATGGTTTGAACTAAAATTTAGAATTTCGTATGTATCTAAGCTGTACAAACAACGACCATTTTGAAGTTAAAAGTCCCTGGAAAAGACATGTATGTATACGTATTTTATGATAAATAAGCGTACACGTACGTATACTATTGAAACTCCATCTACATGATCTGCCCTTTTTAGATTATTGAAACGTGTTTCGAATCATCAAAATCTTCAAGTACTGAGAATATCTGAAAGATGAGAGGGAAAGAAAAGGGGGAGACAAAGTTTAAAGCTTCACGGCCTTTCTGAATTTGTAGGGTTATAACTTTTTCAGGAAAGTTTCCAATCTTTTTCTTCTTCTTCTCCTTCTTCATCATCATTCTTTCCTCGACAATGAACATCATTTCAATCTCTCTCTCTACCAAAGTTCCAAACTTTTTGCTTGCCCTTTGGTCTAATGGCTTTGCTTTGTGTTGGTGTTTCTCTTGCAGACAGACAAAGCCACATTGCTGGCAAAAGTGGTTCAGCGCGTGAAGGAACTCAAACAAGAAACCCTAGAAATCTCCCGCACCGAAACCCTACCCTCGGAAGCTGACGAGGTCAGTGTATTACACTTTGGAGACTACTGTTCCAACGACGGTCGAATCATCTTCAAGGCCTCTCTTTGCTGCGAAGACCGGTCTGATCTCTTACCAGATCTCATGGACATGCTGAAGTCTCTCCAGATGAAAACGCTTCGAGCCGAGATGGCGACACTCGGCGGCCGGACAAGAAGCGTTCTGGTCGTAGCCGCCGGCAAGGAACACGGCGTCGAGTCCGTGCATTTCCTCCAGAACGCCCTCAAGTCGCTGCTCGAACGGTCGAGCAAGCCGTTGATGGAACGCTCTGGCGGCGCCGGTGGTGGAGATCGATCGAAACGACGTCGTGCTTTGGATCGCATCATCATGGTTTAAATCAATGATATAGGGCTTAATAAATTAATAAAAAACCTTTTTTATTTTTATGCTTTGGTTTATCTCCATTAATATATATATATGTATAAGTTGTGTGTGCTGTAAGTAGGTTTGGTACGTGTTTTGTTAGAAGAAAAAGAAAAAGAAAACAAATTATAATATATATATATATATATATATATGGATTTTAGGTTTTCTCTTTCCTTTTTTCCCCTTTTTTCGGTATGTGGAATATCTGGTGAGGCGCAGAAGAATCTAAGAGACAGATGTGATTGGTGAAGTTTGAAGGACATATATACATGCATGCATGCAATACGTATATGTACATGCATATACATATATACGAGAAAAATCGATGTATGTATGTATATGCATAGTTGTGTCCTTGACGGGCTGATGTTTGTAGAATCTTTTGTGAATTTTGGAAAGAAAAAAAAAAGGGTTGTTTGTTTTTCTGTGAGTTTCAAAGTGATATTATGTCATCTTGTCCCCCCTGTAGGTACATAGATGTGTACAAAATCGTATTTTATTGCATTTTTTACGTATAATTTTTCATTATTTGGCCAAAGCTTCATTATTTTAGAACGCAAATTTAGGACATGATTTTGCAATATGGAATCAATCATAATTTTCTTTTAATAAAACTTTTGATATTCAATCTAAATAGAAAACATAATAATATGTAAATCTCAGTATTATGCACATAATATTCCAATAATTTTTTTAAAAAATAACCCACCTTCACGGATTTGGAATACAATCAAGGAAAGAAAATGCACATAACCCATGGCATGACATATAAACTATTTTATATATGCATCTCGACGGTCTAAATTCATTCATCAATACATTACTATATGAATTCAAATTTGATTCCACCAATGCCATGTTGAATTTTAGAGGATTCAATATGGAATTGGTATATTGTTATGGATTGATGAAAAGCACCAAAATGAAGAAATATGCAAATTAAATGAACCAATCTATCTTGTCAAATGGAGATTGGATATAATTTTGTTTTCTATACATATATATATATATATATATATATATAAGATAGGACATATGAATTGACAGAATTTTGTAACGTTGGCGCAACATTATTAATGAATCATATACAATAACCAAATAAAACTGGTCGGTTATATGCCATTTATATGCAACCTATGGATCGGAACTCCAAAATAGAACCAAAGGATTTTTTAATTATAAATAACATATTGATGTCTATTTTGATATATAGTTCGGTAATATGTTTGTCATTGCGTTGTTAAAATTCTATAGATAGAGATTCTTTTCACACGCGCACACACATACGCATATATTATACATATATTGTTTAATTCAATAAATAATTTATTTAAAAATAAAAAAATTTCCTATGGCTTTTTTTATGTGAAGATAATATCGTGGGATTGAACTACCAATTATATATATATATAATGGTTTTGCTTATATATGAGATGTTAATTTCTATATGACTGTAAATCGAAGCATTGGATCTTATAGATATAGTTAAACTAAAGGTGTAGTAATTTTTATTATGTTATTGTTTTATAATAATAATAATAATAATAATAATAATAATTGGACCGATCTATGAACAAGGTCGGGAGTGGAAGAAGAGAATAAAAAAAAAGAACATTATCAAAAATAAAATAAAAGAAGGGGAAGGCGTGAAAAAAGGCAACTGACAAAAGGGGAGGGAAGGAATTGATGGGCTTCTCCTCTCAATGAAGACAAAAAGGACCGACTCCTCCTCCCTCAAAGTGTTTTTTTTCTTTCCCTTTTTTTATATTTATATAAGAAAATTCATGCATATATGTGTACATATATAGGAATATTCAGATACATAATTATAATACTATTAATCAAGATCTGTACATATATTGAAAGAATATCATATCCTATCAATTAATATGCTATGGACTTATATAGTGAATATGATTATAATCAAATAGAATAAAACTTGTAAATTTTTTTTGAATTTATAAAATTATGGAAAATAAATTTTTAAATTTTTTCTTTAACAAATTTATTTTTAAACTTGTAAAATATGTTATTATAATTATTAAATTTGTTAATTGATGTTAAAAATAATATCGAGTATATTGATTCAAAAATCAGTTTGATAATTATAATAACATATTTTATATGTTGAGAATTATAGTGATATATTTTATAAGTTTAAAAATAAATTTGTTAAACGAAAAGTTTATAAATTTAGTTTTTATTATTTTAAAATTTTAGAATTTTTTATGGATGCGTTTCGGATATATTAAAATATAAATGAATGAGTAAATAGATATAGATAGAGGGAAAGGGCAAAAAGGTGGAGGGAGATTGTCCAAAGGGCGTGATGGTTTTGGGGCAGACGGTGTCCCCTCTATACTCAAACCTCTAAACCATAAAGTATATTTTCAAAAAAATAAAAAATAAAAAACACCTTTTTGTACTTTTTTAAAATTTTATTATATCGAAAACAAAAATTCGCATATATTTATTTATTTATCTTGTGAAATTGATGGGTATTGTGGCAAATGCAATCATTAACCCCACACGTTAGTGTCCTCATCGTGTGAACATGCGTGCCCTCTCTACTACACAAGTTTGACCACTCTATTCCCATTTTGAATTTTTAATATTTCCCATGTTAACTAAATTACGGTAAAAATATATATATATTAGAAAACGTGACAAGTGATTCATCATAAATCAATAGAGTAAAATATGCTTATTTTGCATGCCTATATTTATACTTAATATTTATTCGAAACATATAAATATTGGTATATGAATTTTGATTGATTTCACGAATATATATAAATTCATAAAAAAATGTTTAAAAAATTGCATATTAATGCACGAATTTATAAAAAAAATACCAGATAAATACCCGGACTTTGAACTTTTTAAAAAAATACACAAACTTTTTTAGTTTTGACAATAAAACATAAACTTTTAAATATTTTCTAAAACCATTGTAGGATTGTAGTATTTGGGAGTAATTTTAAAGTTTATTATTTAATTTTATGATGTTTTTTGAGGATTTAAAAGTTTATGATTTATTTTTATTATTTTTAAAAAGCTTGGGATGTAATGCAGAAGTTAGAGAAATGTCATGTATTTATTTAAAATTTTAAAATTCATATATTTATTTGAGATTTGTTTTATAAGTTTATGTATTAATATATGAATTTTCTAATTAAAATCTAAGAGTATATAATAGTAACATTTTACATATTATTATAATGTATATTTGATTTGGATTTATTTATTATATTACAAATTTGTTAAAAAAAATAACGTATTTATATTGATAATCAATAGAATACAGTGAAAACAATATCTTTACATTTCGAAACTTTTTGGTGGATTGGAACGGGAGAGATGATGTAACTGTTGATTAAGGATAACATTGTTGTTTATTTATGTTTTCTTTTGTGTTGGATTTTTATTAAGCTACGCATCCGTTGCATTCGTTGTGATATCCTCAGCTATGACGATCGAGGGCTAGGAATGATCGGTGGATCGGCTCTCCGAGTACTACTAGACCAGAATGATATATGAATGAATCGATCGAACGTACCATAATAAGTAAGATTTGCAGGTTGTATAAGTATGAAACTATACGGCTTAAGATAATCTAAAAGAATTGATTGGATTACCCATACCAACAAGATGCACATACCTTTTCGATTGATTATTTCGAGAAAACTCTAAAGTTAAACATACCGGTTATGGAGCAATTTAATTATTGGTGATCTAATGGGAAGTATCTCGGTACACGTGAGAGTTAAGGTAAACACATTAAAATGTTTCGTCTTAATGTGTGAGCGTTTCAACGTTTTGTAACAACCACATATCGTTATACATTCATGATTCTCTCTAATTCTATAAGAGACATTAATAATGATTGTGACATGTCGTGAAGTCGTGATTCCAAACTTTAGTGACCGATCTGATCACCGATCGAAGAATTCAAAGACTGTGATTCCAACCAAGGAAAAGATTGAAAGAATCGGTACGTACCTATACTTTCATTTTCTTACGGCATATATATCACACCCTCATTATTGTTTCAGATAATTGACAATATAGATATGTATATATCTTCAAACATCTAAATATTTTTGGACCACTTATGAAGACGTCGAACGTTGGAATATATATGGATCGGTTTGAATAACATTTAAGCAAACAAGATTCATTGAGAGGCCCATGTTATGGAATGGTCACAAGCCCATCTAAATGAAAACGGTCCAATTTATATAAACCGGAGCCGGTACGCTTCGGATCAAGGCCCTAGCATTTTAGTGGACCGATCCTATTTTTATTCATTGTCATTTTACACGATAAAGATTAAAGGGTTCGGGATTGTTTTACGGAGTTAATTTATTTGAAAATGAGAAATGTGAAGACACATTTAAGGATATAAATATAATATATATATATATATATATAATTTGTGGACCCTCGACATTACCAATCTTCTTCTAACATGGGGATTGGTCACCGATCAAACCAATAAAACTGTTTAAAAAAACAATTATAAAGAGTTTTATATTGCAGTAGAATTTACATATTCTCTAAAACGAGTTTTGAACTGTTTTATAAATTTTAAATGTTATTTATCATTTTATTTATAGACAGATGTTATGGAACATATGATTCATGGTTTATAAATTGGGTCATAAAAATGATCATCTATTCTTTTTTACAAATTACCATCGATATATATATATATATATAGTTTCCAATATCAAAAGACATCAAGAATTTTTTTTTTTTTGGTAATGAAAGACATCAAGATTAGGACCGTGGTATTGGTGTACAAAATCCTCCATCAATGTTTTATCAGAGAAAACTTGTCGAACAGATATATATATATATATATAAGGACTTATATATATGTGTTATATACATGCGCATGTGTGAAGGTGAATACTAGCTTAGGGGAATAATTATTATATAAAAAAAGGGCATGAACATGGGATGAACATGGAATACAGATGGGTCGACGATGGACCCAATCATCCGTTTTCGATCACCGAGACATCTCTCTCTCTCTCTCTCTCACACACACACATGCATACACATATACATACACAATCACATTCATCATTATATGTAGAGAAATAAAAAAATTTAAAAGAAGGAGATGGTCAAAATTGCGCTATGAAAAGAACCCTAGGCTTTATCTCCTCTACCTTTTGCTGAATGATGATTATTTGGTCCAATTCATTGTTTAATTTCCTCTCTTTAAATCATTTGAATTCGGCACTGTCATCATCATAATCGCACCCAAAAAAAAAATAATGCTTATATATAAATAAATAAACATGTATGTTTACTGTTAATAATATAATTAATTTATAAGAACAACGTTATATGTGTGCGTGCGTGCGTATGCATTGCGTATATAACTTTATTCTATATTCCGATTTAGGGTTAAAAGAAGTGGAGGAGATGAAGGTATCAAGGAATAAGAATTTATTCTTTTTTTTCTTTTTTTTTTATTTCTTATAATTTGGAATTTTCACTACCAATGCCCCAAAGGTAGTGGTTGTTAGGCTTTCCTTGTTTTCACTTTTTTGGGCATCTTATCGCCTAGGGTTTTTTTTTATTCCTTCTAATCGCACAAATTCCTTTATCTATTAACACAATTTTTTTGTATAAGTATATTACACATTATAAAATAATCATTGATAACAAATAAATTTAAATATACAATGTAGTTTTTTAATAAATCTTTTAATCGTACAAAAAAATCAAGCTAAATAGAAATTATGTGAATTTCTTTATAAAAACTCATAATTCTCAATAATATATTAATTTATCTGATAGTCACATTGTTTATTTGATTTTTGAATTATAAAATACAAATAATTTAGGTATTCAACATAACACTATAATATATATATATAAATAAACATAAATTTTATTCTTATTTCAAAGTTTTAAATTCTCTTATTCTGTTCATAGTTTTTTTTCTCATTGAATAAGCCATAATAGAAAAATTCCACATCACAAAAAAAATTTAAAATTAGCAAATAATAAAATATGAAAGAAAAGAGAAGGGAACATATATTATTTTTATCCAATCATATGACATTCTGCTCTGCCGCAACATAAGTCTTTTAGGTTTAGGGTATTTCTTCACGATCAATAAAATTAATTAGTGTTTTAACAAAAAATAATAATAATTAGTGCGTCGTTACATGCATCCTTCCCTAGCGAGATTATTTATATGTTTTATGATTTTTTTATGTAATTTGTTATATATTGTATGATTTTGTTGTTTTGTGTATGTCTTTTGGCACGTAATTCCATTTATCTTATTCTAGAAACAGTATCCTTCGGTTGACGTTTCCGCATCACATGATTCACATCACATACTTTCGTTTTTAAGTACATATGCATATATAGATGTGTATATTATTATAATATATATATATGTATATACATATGTAACATATTAAATATTATATTTTAAACTAGATAATGTTTTTTGTTACATCTTTTTCGCTATAGTATTCCTATAAGAACGAAATGTTTGCGTAATGTCAGAATATATTTGTCAACATATACATATTTATATATTTCATATTTCATAACATTTTTTTCTTGAGTTATTCACGTACGATAAATTTGAAGACACGAGCAATTTACAATTAGGTGGCAAATGATTTTCAATGATCATTGTCGGTGTCAGAAAGGGGAGAAGAATAATATCCTCAACGTGCATCTAATTCTTCTTCTTTTATGTTTTTTGTATTTTTTTTAAATAGTATTATTAATTCAATGATTACTGCTTACATTTTATTTTATTTTATTATTAATTAGTTCTTCGGTATTTCAAACAAGTTTAGTTGGGGCGTAAGATTTCTTGCATTATGTTTCCAACGATTTGGACAAAGATGGCCAATAAATATAGGTAGATTTGGAAAAAAAAGAACCATTAAAAGGTATTTGTTTATTCTCATTAGATGTAAAAAAAGCTATTCATAATATTACTTTTTTACTAGAATTAATTATACAATATTTACCAAACTCGTACCCTAGTTTGATCATATATATATATAAAATACATTGACACATTTCATACGTAAATTAGCCAGACATTATAATTAGCTTGAAGAAATTAATTAAATTCGGTCTCACAAAAAAGGGTTAGTCTAATATTATTGAACTTTCACTCGCCATAAACAATAAATATTTTACTCAATATAGATTCTATATATATATATGCAGATTTTATAGATTAGTTGTAACGCACAATTTTTGCAAACATCTTACGTCTTTTCGCATCCTTATGTCGCCAATTCGAAGCATCGGTAAGAACATGACATAAACAACATCATGTCTGAAATTACATATTTTTTTAGATTATGTCACTAAAATCGATTATTTCTTGATTTTTTTTTTACAATATTTCTATATATATATACACATATATATCGTGTTGATTTCATGCACTATCCCAAGTCCTAAACATTTTAGGGTTTAAGACATCTTGAATATTTTAGGGTTTAAAGTTTATTTCTTTTTTTAAAAAAAGTTATTGTATTTTCCTTTTCTGATTAAACCCACAATTTATATACATATTTCTAATGTCCACTGTGGATAAGCTTTGGTACTATAGACATTATATTATGCCTCAAAGCCGAACCATAAAGTTAGTCAAAGTTGGAAAACCGCAACAAAAGCAAAATTCAATATTTGTGAACAAACTCCAAGCGAATGTAACACAAACCACAAACCTTGCAATGTTGTTCACATTTATCGGCAAACTGCTTCATGTTTATTTTAATGTTATATAGTATCCATATATTCACGATATGGGACAAGAGAAAATTAAAAAAAAAAATTGGTGGAAATGTAAATGGTTTTATAAAATTTGGGGATTAAAAAAACTTGGGTTTATATGCATTAGGATTAGGATCATCAAAGGGGGGAGAACAAGAAAGGCAGAGATATGAATAAACCCTTTCTCCCTCTTTGTTAGCTACCAAAGTTACCAAACAACACATTGAATCCCATTCATTAACAAAAAATAATACCAAAAAGCTGCATGAAAATGGGAAAAAAAATATCAAAATAGAAGAAAAAAAATAAGGAAAAGAGATCAGTTTTATTTCCTTTGATTCTCTTTCTTCCTTTGGTGCTCCTTCCTGCTAAGCATCTTTTCTTTTTACCCTTTCTTCTCCTTCTCTCTCTCTCTCAGACCTTTATTCTTAACGCTTTGCTTTTGCTTCCTTAGTGCCTTTACTTTCCTTCTTGCTGGAGTGAAATTCGCTTCCTTTCTTCATCTTCTTCTCCTCCTCCTCCTTATCCTTTGTCCCTTAAACATCTTCTCGTGCAATCTTCCTGATTTGGTTTGTTTATCCTCTTGTATTCTTCTGATCTCGCATTCCCATGTCCTGTAAAGTCCAATTGCTTTTCCTTTCCTGATTTATTGTTCTTGTGTTTTGGGTTGTTTTTTCCTGGGAAAAGTTTGTTCCTTTCCCGGGAAAATTTACCGCGTCTTCCTTTCTGGGTTTCTTTTAGAAGAACCTGGGGTTTTCCCTCACAGTAGCGTACTGATTCTTCCACCATTTTGGGTTGTTCATCTGGATTCACTGATTCTTCAGCCTCAATTCATCTCCTTTCATGGGTCTCTGCCATGGAAAACCCATCGAACACCAATCGAAGAGCCTCACCGTCTCCGGCGAGGCCGAGGAGGCGCCGCCGAATTCGCAACCAGCGAAATCCTCCGGCTTTCCTTTCTACAGCCCTAGCCCCTTGCCAAGCCTCTTCAAGACCTCACCCGCCATATCCTCGAGCGTGAGCTCCACGCCCCTACGTATCTTCAAACGTCCCTTCCCGCCTCCGTCGCCGGCGAAGCACATACGCGCCCTCTTGGCGCGTCGGCACGGCTCCATCAAGCCCAACGAGGCCTCGATCCCTGAAGGGAGCGAGTGTGAGATCGGTCTCGACAAGAATTTCGGCTTCTCGAAGCAGTTCGCTTCACACTACGAGCTCGGAGACGAGGTGGGTCGCGGCCATTTTGGGTATACTTGCTCTGCGACGGCGAAAAAAGGAAGCTTGAAAGGCCAAGATGTTGCAGTCAAAGTTATTCCCAAATCAAAGGTTCCTCCTTTACCTCTAGTTCTATGCCCTTGTAGTATATGAAGATCAGGGTTTTGATACGTTAAGCTGCGTGGAATGATGCTCTCTGTCAATTATCTGTTCATTGATTTACCCCTGAGAAAATATGCCGGTGATACTGTTGTTCAATTGGTCTGAGCATAATAGATGAACCAGAGTTTTATCAGATAATGCCGAGAGAGACTAGCGTCTTTTGTTAGTCAGTTGCTTAATCTGGGTATCTTGATGGTTTGTCATAGTTAATGTTACGGATGTTATTGTCGGCAGATGACCACTGCAATTGCAATAGAGGATGTTAGACGAGAAGTGAAGATCTTGCGGGCCTTGACTGGTCACAAGAATCTAGTCCAGTTCTATGACGCGTATGAAGATGACGAAAATATCTACGTTGTCATGGAGTAAGTATTGTATAATATATTCTTTCAGAGATCTCTTAAGCCTATCAGCTTTCAGTTTTATGATTGATCTAATAGTTCTTACAAGGCAGTCTGATGTTTTGGCTGTCTAATTTCTCTTGCCACGTTTCTCTCATCAGGTTATGTAAGGGCGGTGAACTCTTGGACAGAATACTTCAAAGGTGCTGCCTTTTCGCTCTATGATTCTCATCTTCTAATCCGTGTCGCTTTTCGTATGTTTTGTTTTGACTGTTCGATTCTGTTTGTGATTGGGTTCATTAGGGGTGGCAAATACTCGGAAGATGAGGCTAAAAAAGTTATGGTTCAGATTCTGAATGTAGTGTCCTACTGTCATCTCCAAGGCGTCGTTCACCGTGACCTTAAGCCCGAGGTAATGTCCCATTCCAGATTGTTCTCTCACTGGTTTTGTTGCTTCCATCCCTGCTTTTGATGACCCTTCTCTTTCTTAGGGGCCCCATCACATTTTCAGAGCCTTGTGTGCACAAAATGAGTTCCACTAACTTGTGAAAAAAATGCTTCTTTTTTTGTGATAGGGATGTTCATGTTGCTATTATCTTCTTCTTTTGCAGAATTTTCTGTTCACTACTAAAGATGAAGGTTCTCCTTTGAAGGCGATTGATTTTGGTCTCTCCGACTATGTGAAGCCAGGTCAGAGACTGTTATGTTAATTTACCCAAGTTTTCTCCTCTGTATCCCCATCCCGATGTTAGGAAAAAAAAAAGTTGACATTTTTACACGTTTGTGCAGATGAGAGGTTGAATGATATTGTAGGAAGCGCTTATTATGTGGCACCGGAGGTTCTACACCGGACATATGGGACTGAGGCGGATATGTGGAGTATTGGAGTGATAGCTTATATTCTTCTCTGTGGCAGCCGACCCTTCTGGGCCCGCACTGAATCCGGAATCTTCCGAGCTGTCCTTAAAGCAGAACCTAATTTCGAAGAAGCTCCTTGGCCATCACTCTCACCTGATGCCATAGATTTTGTGAAAAGATTGTTGAACAAAGATTACCGGAAAAGACTAACTGCCGCCCAGGCTTTATGTAAGTCTCTATAACATTCTTGATCTTTCCTTTTCTTCAAGCCGGGGGAAACTTTATTTTTAATGTAATGTGAAAGTTCCAGCTATATCCGCTTTTTCTTTGCTTCTGAATTCGTGATATATGAATATGAGTTATTATTTGCTCCTTTTTTGACATATATGGCAATGATTGTTCTTATGGTTAGGTCACCCCTGGCTGGTTGGTTCCCATGATGTAAAGATACCATCCGATATGATCATATACAAGCTCGTTAAGGCATACATAATGTCGTCTTCTTTAAGGAAATCGGCTTTACAGGTGAGTTGGATTCCACATTAGCTACCATATAGAATATAACTTTGATGCTATTTTCGAGATAATTACAATGACTTTGTTATGTTGTTCCAGGCTCTTGCCAAAACGTTAACTGTACCACAGCTGGCTTATCTCCGGGAGCAATTCACATTACTGGGACCGAGCAAAAATGGATATATCTCAATGCAGAACTACAAAACTGTAAGCACTCTGCTTTATTCTCCCGGTTTCCACATTATTTGGAATTTCCTACGATTCTGATAGAATCCACTCATCTCTTAATGTCACGGGATTTTCAGGCGGTCTTGAAGAGCTCTACTGAGGCTACGAAGGATTCACGGGTCTTGGATTATGTAAACATGGTAATAATGGATGTGACATTGTTATATGATGAGATATCCATATCATTATGGCTGGTGATTTGATGTATGCTAAGCTTTGTTTTTGGATGCACAGATTAGTTGCCTTCAATACAAGAAATTGGACTTTGAAGAGTTTTGTGCTTCGGCCTTGAGTGTTTATCAGCTGGAAGCCATGGAAACATGGGAACAGCATGCACGGCGTGCTTATGAGTTGTTTGAGAAGGATGGCAATAGGCCTATTATGATCGAGGAACTTGCATCGGTATGCTCTGCCTCTTTCCCATGGATCTACATGCATGGAGCTGTGATATTTACATGAATAGGGCCGAAAAATAGAATCACGGGGAGGGGTTTTGGTTTCAGTTTTTCACAGGATGCCTGAGGCATTGAGTCCTAATAAGGGATTATTGTGAGAAAAAAGCAGTTCTTCATAGTGCTGATCGATTTTCATTATTCAAGTGAGAACAGGTCTTGTAAAAATGTTGTTTCTGATGTTGTTGGCAGGAACTTGGACTCGGACCATCAGTCCCGGTTCACGTGGTGCTACAGGACTGGATAAGACATTCCGACGGTAAGCTTAGTTTCTTGGGTTTCGTCAGACTCCTCCATGGCGTGTCCTCCCGGACACTTCATAAAGCTTAGAGAGCTCTCTCTCTCTATCTATCATCAGTTACAGTTCAGACACAGGCTGAAACCTTTTGTCATCTACTTCCTCGGTGCAAAAGGACAAGAACCCTGCTTCTCAAAAGCCCTTTCGATTCTGAAACGCCTAAGGAAACCGTTAGACAAACTTATCATCACATTGTTAGATGAAAGCTCTGAGACTTATGGCAGGAAAAAATCGGGTTCTGTCTGGGTTTCCCGTGGTTTGCTTTTTCTTTTCTAGTTTTGTTTTTTCCTTTTTATGTTCTCTTAATGATCAGCAAGAGTTGAGTCTGTGGAGATGAGAGAAGAAAGGGAGGGAGAGGGGAAGTTTCAAGAGCTGATTTGTACAGAAGAGACATAATCCATAACAAGGAAGAAGACAGACATTCCCTTGTGAATGCTGTCAGTGATGATGTTTTAATTTCCCTGTTGTAATAATAAACGCAAACACCCACTTCCTGTTCTCTCCTTAGTGTGATAACTGAGTGGCGATACATCTGTGTGTATGCATATCTATGTGTTCCATGTGTGTGACCACAGCAGAGTTACAGAATCCAGAGCATCGTAGTGTAAGATTCGATCACAGTATAAGATTCACAATCTATCTTCCAACTCCGAAGGGGAAGACTCTGAACAATGTGGCTACACAAGCTATACACTCTGTCCAAACACTTAAGAAGACAAAAGGAAGAGAGACCGCAAATCATTTGCCCCGGATCATATATGGTGTGGACATATCAGCTTTTCATTGATGCAGAACCATGTGGGTCGGTGGTAGATCATCAGTCTTCGTTGCTCTCGCATCAGAAATATTCCATACCAGATAGTAGAACAGTCCCTTTCATTGGATTCTTTGGCATTGAAGTTAGATCCACCTTTCTAGTTAGTGGGACTGTGCTTCGAGGAGGATGTTGGTGGCTGCATTGATATTGTTTCTGGCGTGAACCAGAGCCTGTCTAGCTGCATTCAGGTCGAAACCCATTGAGACCAGCGTGTTTATGGCTTCCTCGGATGGCTCGACACTTGATGGCATTGGGGCCGGGGCTGGGGCTGGGGCCAGGGCTGGGGCTGGGTAAGATCTCTGAAACTCAAAAAACATTGAAGGCCAATGACGAAGAGGCGGTGAGGATATAAGAGCCGAAAACAGATGGCAGCAGTGGAAAGGAGAGCAACGAGACTTACCTCTGGCTGGCGATGGGTTGACGAATTTCCGAGGACATTCCCGCTAGGAGCTGGAGGAGAGCTCCCAATGGATGAGGTAAAGAATGAAGTCAATAAACTCAGGAAACTGAAACATAATTCAGAGAAGCTTGTTTAGTTTTTGGATTGGAATGTCACTTTGAAGATTATAAGCTAAGATGTTCAGACTTGAGAGTTGATATCCCAAACAAAAGTCACAAAGGTGTGTATATATATATAACCTTTGCCTTGCGGATGCCAAGGATATTCAGCCAAGGATATTCAACCGATATAAAGAACCAGCAAGTATGCCACAAAGGCCTGGAAATATGGATATTTTCCAAGATGATAGTAGAAGCTGCACATCGGAACCATGACAATTACGTCTCTTGGACTGAAAAAGATTCTACGTGCAAGTAACAGACAACTAAACACGCGGATTTTTTTTACCTGGAGACCTGACAGGTATATGAAGGACTTGTTGAAAACTTGTTGAAGCAAATATGAGGCCATATGGTCCACAGGTAAGTAGGTTTGGTGTCGGATCTGCAAATATTAAAAAACAAATTACTACAACCTCAGAAACTTAAAAACCAAAAAACAATACTTGTAAGCTAATTTAAGCTAAATGACATTTTATAATCTCTTACAATGGCTGACCCTAGAGGAGAACAGAAGAACCAGCAAAAAAAAGCATAGATTTTGAAGAGGCCCTATGGTAAAAATAAGATGTATTACCTTTAAGCAGATATAACAAAAGGGTTTCCAGTAGTAGTGAAAAAGTCACTAAGAACAAAGATAAAGACCTGCAGAGAAAGCCCTTTCGAATTACCCTCACATAAGCAGAGTAAGAGAACTGAAAACCTATAAGAAATGCTCACTAACAATGTGCAGAAATAATATCAGGTGGACCTTCCTCGTCACCCATTTACCAAGATGATTATAAGAATGGAAAACTTGGAAGAAACGATGGCGAATAGAAACATAGTGGCCACCACAAGGAAAGAACCGAGCTTAACCATAACTTACCCAGTATTCATTTGGACCTATCTGTCTCTCAAAAACCCGGAAGTACTGTACTAAATATAATCCGAACATCAGCTCTGGAGTGGAAGAGAATGCAGAAACCAAAACGATTAACTTCCAGATCCGAAACTTCTCAAAAATATCCTGCAATGAGTTTTGAAAAAAGGATTATATAACGGTATCCATTGACCCTACCTCAGACAGGTTCCTAAGGCTTTTACCATCACTTCATACAATCAAACATCTTTCAGGTGCATCGAAAAAGAGATGATTTGGAAGTGAGATACGGCATGACTCAGCTGATAAACAATCACAAGCATAAGCTTGGCAGAGCACTAACTAAGACTGAAAGCATTTAGCTTTAGCTGCTTCATTTCGATCAAACAAGACAAGACCCAGATTGCGTCTGAGGAAGAAGATTACTGCTTAATCACACGGGAGAATCAAACATTGCCCACATTGAGAAACCCACGGAAAACCAATTCTGCAAGCCAAAGTTGGCGACTTCAACACAGTAAGGCAGATCCTAGAACGGAAAACCTAACAGTTCACCATAATCGAATCCTAATTTCAACCCGAATTTTCCTGAATACAGAGGAACCGAACTAAAAAACAAAGCGGGAAATTACACAATAACGCATCAAATGGGAGTACCTGGTAAGACAATCCGAGCTTGGAAGAACGGCCTCGGATCCCGAAGAAGACGGTGAAAAGGGCATACGCGATGACGAAGGCTTTCGTGGCCGGAGCATTATCTGCGGCATCGGTAACTCACACACATCAATCAAATGCAAATCGAGAGAGCGAGAGGAATTCAGAAACCGATACACCATGACGGGGGGAAACCGAACAGAATTCAAAAAATGCTCGATCAAAGGGGACGATGATGGGTATGTATACGTACTAAAACCGGAGGGACCGCCGTTCATCTTCCTCGGATGAACAGAGGGAGCAGAGCAATCAGAGAGCTGAGTTCTTGAACGATTCAATCAGGGAAATCGAGATCGATAAGACACCCTTTTCTGTCTTTGAAGTCAAGAAGTGTTTTTTTTTTTTTGCTGCTTAAACCTTTTTTTTTACGCGTCTCGAATTTCAATTCTTCTTTCCTTTTTGCGAATGCAAAACTGTCAGCCATGAGATTGATGCGGAATGAGAAGATGTATATTCACAAGTGTTGAATCTTTCATGTTTTACTTGTTCATGAGGGGGATTATCTCTTTTACCCTCAATGTGCTAAATGGACTTCTACATCTACCCTCCTCCTATCCAAAAAAAAAATTTACTTCCAAAATACCCTCTCAAATGTACATTGACCAAAATAACCTTATAATATTATTTTATATTTATTTTTTAAAATAAAAATCAGTATTCTCTCTCCTCAAAACTAGGATTTCTCTCTCCTCCATTCTTCTCTTTCGATTGAAGCTTTCTCTCTCTACATTATTTTCTCTCTCCTCTGAAATTGGGATTTTTTCCTCAAATTTTGACAAAATCATAGCAAAATCTGTATGAAATCAAACATAAACTTAGAAATATATAAGCGGCAGTCGAAAATCCCCGTCTTTTTATGAATATTGATGGTTTTAACGTTTTTTTGTATATATTTTTTTTATTATTTACTAAGCTTTGTCATAGATCCATATCAAATCTGTGTTTAAGTGTTTTTAGAATATAATTGAGTCATGGATCACACAGTTATCTATCACAATAGTCAAAGTGGACATATAGAGCACAAAGGTAACAATGTGCATATCGTTCATGGATTACAACAATAATACGGATCACAATAGATAGGTCATAAAGGTTACATACGGGCACATAGTCATATGGGTCACGAGCCATTAGGATAATGATTGACATAGATCATTAGGGTGATAAGGTCATATGGTCACACGGTCCCATGGTCACGTGGTCACACGGTCTCATGGTCACATAGTCACATAGTCACATGGTCTTTAAAGCCTAACATCGTATATTGACAAAGTGTTACGTGAATGGTAGGAGAACGTCTACAACAGGAGGAGAGAGAAACCGCAAAATGATAACGGTTGTGAATGTGGTATTTTTGCAATAAAGTATATTGATGCAATTTATCTTGGTAAACAACAAACGTTATGTCCCTTGATATGTGCGATAATGTCTCCATGATTCATGAGTAGTTGGCAGCCACAATATTTGTTCATGGCAAGGTGACGAAAAAAAGGGAGTCATAGTTAATGTCCAAACACAAAAAATAAGTCACTTGGTAAAAAAAAAATTCACGTTTTTTTCGTCACCTTGCCATGAACAAATATTGTGGCTGCCAACTACTCATGAATCATGGAGACATTATCGCACATATCAAGGGACATAACGTTTGTTGTTTACCAAGATAAATTGCATCAATATACTTTATTGCAAAAATACCACATTCACAACCGTTATCATTTTGCGGTTTCTCTCTCCTCCTGTTGTAGACGTTCTCCTACCATTCACGTAACACTTTGTCAATATACGATGTTAGGCTTTAAAGACCATGTGACTATGTGACTATGTGACCATGAGACCGTGTGACCACGTGACCATGGGACCGTGTGACCATATGACCTTATCACCCTAATGATCTATGTCAATCATTATCCTAATGGCTCGTGACCCATATGACTATGTGCCCGTATGTAACCTTTATGACCTATCTATTGTGATCCGTATTATTGTTGTAATCCATGAACGATATGCACATTGTTACCTTTGTTCTATGAATTCATTTCCAATGATCATAATATAGAAATAGTAATGTGTGTGTATATATATATATTTAGAGTTATAACTATCTATAAATATATTTGTAATTCATTAAAATACTAATCCACCAAGTTTTTCTCTATAAAAAAATGTAATATAAAAGTCACTTTATTTGCTGTCATTTCGACCCTATAAAAAAAGAAAATATTAAATTAGCTCTGCAATATACACATATATATACTTAAACCAAAAAAAAAATATACACATATATAATATATCTATATCATGTCATGTTCATGTTTATTTCCGCTAGACATGCCTCCCCTGTCCAGCTGGGGAAATAGCTGATATACCCTCTTGTTGCTATTTGTACTTCTGATGATACCCTCAAAACAAAAAATTAAACAAAAAACACTCTTTCACATGTCAAAGACACAAACACCCTCAAATATTTATGAAAAGACCAAAAACCCTTCTTTTTTTTAATTTAAAAAATTCAAAATAAAAAAATAAAAGTAACAACTTCATTATCTTCTCTCGTGGTTCTTCTCTCTCTCCTACCTTTCACCATTTTTATTCTCTCTCTAAAAAAATCACAGATTTTTATTGTTAAATCTCAATTTTCCTTCAGTTTTCTTTAAAAAATTTCGTTTTCTCTTTAAATCTTAAACTAGATTTGAGATTCAAAGAAGAAAAAATGACGATAACAAAGAACGTAACTTCAAAATCATCTTTATTTTATTTCACTTTTATCATCTTCATCCGTTCCCTCTCTTATTTTCATTTTTTTTTTCAATTTTTCTTTCGTTCTCTCTCTCAAAATCGTCGAACTCTCCTCCCTCTCTCGTCGATTTGTGCCTTAAATCTCGATTTCTCTCATAAATTTCGTTTACCCATCAAAATCTTAGGTTACATCAGAGATTGAAAGAAGAAGTAACGACGAGAGCAAAGAACATGATTCAAGTTCATCTTCCTCGTAATCTTCGAACGAGAATGAGAATTGTATGGTAATTAAATTTTGATTTTTTTTCAGATTTGTTTGATTTTAGATTTCTTTCAATTGAATTGAAGGTGGCTTCGAGATTGATCGATAAAAGTATTAAAGTTTTGGATATTTTTGAAAATTTCGAGATTTTGAAATAAAATGTTGTGTTTGTGGTCAAAATTGAGTGAAATTGATGAATTTCGATCACATGAGGATTCGAAGGATAAGGTCACACGGTCAGAGTCATAAAGCATTTGAGAAAGTCAGGACTGGATACATAAAAAAAATCATAATTAGGGTTCAAAACAAAATAAACAAAGCACTTGGTAAAATAAAAGTTAACACTCTGAACTTTACCACGGATAAATATTGTAGCCATCACCTGCTCACGGATCAGGATGACGTTGTCGTCCCCTAGCAAGGGGCCCCACGTATGTTCTTTACCTCTATAAATCGCTTCAACATAGTTGATTGCAAAAACACTATATTCACAATCGTTATCATTTTGCGGTAGTCCCTCCATATACTAAATGTCGAGTACATCACCATCAGATAAAGATTTTGATCCACCCAAGAGACACGCCGTCGGAACGAGATGACATAACATATGTCAGCAATATTATCCAGATATCACTGTGTGACATTGTGACCATGTGACCGTGTGACCGTGTGACCGTGTGACCATGTGACTATGTGACTGTGTGATCATGTGACCGTGTGACCATGTGACCGTATAAACTTACAATATTTGTAATCCATATTCCGTGTGACAAAAGCTCTTTCTCGAAACTTGGACTCCGTAATGTATCCAGTCCTGACTTTCTCAAATGCTTTATGGTCTGACCGTGTGACCTTATCCTTCGAATCCTCATGTGATCGAAATTCATCAATTTCACTCAATTTTGACCACAAACACAACATTTTATTTCAAAATCTCGAAATTTTCAAAAATATCCAAAACTTTAATACTTTTATCGATCAATCTCGAAGCCACCTTCAATTCAATTGAAAGAAATCTAAAATCAAACAAATCTGAAAAAAAATCAAAATTTAATTACCATACAATTCTCATTCTCGTTCGAAGATTACGAGGAAGATGAACTTGAATCATGTTCTTTGCTCTCGTCGTTACTTCTTCTTTCAATCTCTGATGTAACCTAAGATTTTGATGGGTAAACGAAATTTATGAGAGAAATCGAGATTTAAGGCACAAATCGACGAGAGAGGGAGGAGAGTTCGACGATTTTGAGAGAGAGAACGAAAGAAAAATTGAAAAAAAAAATGAAAATAAGAGAGGGAACGGATGAAGATGATAAAAGTGAAATAAAATAAAGATGATTTTGAAGTTACGTTCTTTGTTATCGTCATTTTTTCTTCTTTGAATCTCAAATCTAGTTTAAGATTTAAAGAGAAAACGAAATTTTTTAAAGAAAACTGAAGGAAAATTGAGATTTAACAATAAAAATCTGTGATTTTTTTAGAGAGAGAATAAAAATGGTGAAAGGTAGGAGAGAGAGAAGAACCACGAGAGAAGATAATGAAGTTGTTACTTTTATTTTTTATTTTGAATTTTTTAAATTAAAAAAAAAAAAGAAGGGTTTTTGGTCTTTTCATAAATATTTGAGGGTTTTTGTGTTTTAACTGTCGACAAAGAGTGTTTTTTGTTTAATTTTTTGTTTTGAGGGTATCATCAGAAGTACAAATAGCAGCAAGAGGGTATATCAGCTATTTCCCCTGTTCATGACCTCGCACAGTACTTACTACTGACTCACGCTGTTAAATCATCCGAATTTTGGCTAAGGGTTCTCTACCCATTGCGCAGAATTATCCAAACCCAATTTCAAAATATGCATTCATTACAAAAACAAGAGACCATTAGCAGTATCCATTGAAGCCCGAATCCAAACCCAAAAATCGAGTTTTTGCTCGTCACTTGTACTATCGATAGGCGGATACCCGAATTAGAATACCCGATCTGCGAATCAAGTACTGGAAATTTCGGAATCACATTCCCATCCCTACATTATTGGGGGGAGAGATAAGGAAATGGTGAAACTCCAAAGGTTAAAAGACAAGAGATCTGAGTCCGTTTGGTTTGGTTTGGTTCGAGAGTTCCATCAAAAGCAAAACGCCCTAAAAACAAGGTCCCCCCTATTAACTTATGTCGCCTCCCCGACCAACCTTATTATGCCCACATCCCAAAAACGTGTTCAATCCAATCCAAGACTAATCAAAACCCGACAAGAGGGCAAAGCACAAAATCATCGACACGAAAAAACATACCGTGAATATCATACCGAGATAAATGGCAAACTGAGTTTCTCAAACCACGGTTGGTTACTTGTTACACGCATCGAGTGTAGAGTTATGGTAATTAAGGGCTTAGCGAAAAACCCGTTACGTAAAAAACAAGAGGAGAGTGGTTTAAGGATCAAAGACCTAATCCGACAGTACGTCCATCTCTTCGGCGAAGTCCAGCTGTGTACTGCTTCTCCAGATCCATCTGCATTTCCTTCTGCTTCTCTGCACGGACTCCGTGCTCGTTCGGGTCCTCCTCTGTTTTTGTGTTGCCCTTCACACCCTACAATTGGCCATATGTACCAAGGCAACCTCAGGCTCTAAAAAATGTGTTAGTATGATGTTTTAATGGGGGAATCTTTAATCAAATTGTACAAATCTGTGACAGAGAAGAGTTTGAAATTCAGTAATATGCCTTATTAGAGATGCCCTTTCATCGGTTTGTGGTCGAAAAAGGGAAAAGGGCCATCAATGTAGCACATGGAGAGGCAATACAAATGAAGCATGGAAGGGGAGATGAGAGATTTACCATTAGCTTGTTGAACTTCTCTTGCCGTTCTCGATCACCGATTAGTGCAGAATCCCAACGATGCGCAGTCTAACCGGAAAAAAGAACAAAAGTACAAATAAGCCAAACAAATAAGGCTTTTATATATACCTTTATTAGGCTATTAGCTAAATTCTAGTAATCCCCAAAGTTCATTACAGTTACCTCTTCTGCAGCCTCGCTTTTCTTATTTCCCCACAACAGCTTCTTCTTTTGATCTGTGGTTAGGTAACCCGTCCCAACAAGGTTTTTATTCACTGCATAATAAAGGAAAAACCGTAAACTAAAAAAAAAACAGAAGCAGACATGATGGAACTTTGATCTCTAACTATACTTTCTTAACAGCAGAATGCTTGCATGTCCATACCAGAACATGAAGCATGACAATGAATTTCTTGACAAAACTAATTGAAACGATAAACAGATCATAAGAAATTAGAGGAAGCCATAAACCAAGGGCATATTTGATAATTACCCATTTCAGCAGCTTTCATCGCGGCAACTTTAGCAGCATCTATGTCACCAGAAAGTCCAGGTTCTTTAGAAGATGATTGCCCGGTCGATTTCTTCTCACAAACAACTATAGCTGGCTTTGAGCTTGGCAGCAGTTTTTCTTCAGCTGCAGCAATAAATCTATCAGCATGGAGCTTAAAAATGGTAATGTGTAGAACACAGAAATTGAATAAGCATAGAATATAACAGCGAGTCACAAAGAACAGGACAAAAACAAAAGAAGAATCACCGTCAGACTTTCCATCAGCAAACTTTTCAGAACAAAAACCCTTCAGTTTCTTAGACTGCGTATCTAATTTCTCACTTGCAAAACCACTTTTATCTTCAAAGCGATCTCTTGGACTTTTGAAACGAGTGTCCTTCTCCTTGTTCATGTCAGAGTCCTCATATTTTCTTTTGTCATCACGGAATTGGCGATCACTGGAACTCCGAAGGTAATCTCTTTTCTCGTTCAAACGATCTCTGCTCCCTGCATAATCCTTCTCTTTCTCTGAGGATCTTGAGTCTGCATGTTTCCTACCAGATCCTGCCCTATTGGATGATTGCTCTTCACCTTTCTCGAGATCCTTGCTTCTATGTCCAGAGCTGCTATACTTGTCTCGAGAATGGCGATCCGAATCACTTCTTGACCTGCTATGTTCAGGTTCTACTCTTCTACGATCAGAGTGATGGCCACCCCTCGAATCACGGCTGGAGCGAGAAGGTGATGATCGATACTTTCTACTGTTTTCATCTGCATCCTTCTCATGTTTGTTATCCTCATGCTTAGAGTACCTGTCATGTCTATATGAGTCATCGCCTCTACCATGACGAGTACGGCCATAATCCCTGTCTGACTCTCTCCTATCATCTTTCCTTGCATTATTTGGCTCAGACACTTTTCTAACATCTCCCCTAGAATGGTTCGGGCTAGAGTTCCGATACCACTCAGGGCTTCCTACAAAAAGGAAGCAACAGATCTATCTCAGTCATGGCAAGGAACGGAACAAAGGTTTTGGTGACTCGAGGATACGTACGTCAAAAGGAAACCACAAATAAGCATCATACTGTAAACTTTTACTTGTTGGATAATCATGAGATAAGGCTACTTTCTCTCAGTTAACTCAGAGCATAAGTGTTGATACTAACCCATCATTCTACAAGGCTTACTATCCAATCCATATACTTAGATCCTCGGATATGCTACAATCTCAAGCTAGACATTGAAGACCAAAAGATACGAACTAACCATCAGATGAAGTGGACCCATCATTAACTTGAGAACGGCGACGATACTTCCTGTTAGCTGAATCGTTCGAAGGCTTACGAAACGCAGTTCTACTATCGCCAATATCATGCGCGGGAGAATCCATTTCGGTGTCCATGAAGGATGGCAACTGAAACGCAGCCAAAATAAACTACAAAAGGTCAATTTTCGAAAATGGTGTGAGCAAATGAATCCCAGAAAGTATGCCCAGATAAGACAACGCCTACAAGCGAACCAAATCCATGGCCTCGCAAAAACAAGTAAAATGTGTAAAAATCGAAATCGAAATGAACAGATGATATTCGCTCACCGTCGCGTGAACGACCACTCGAGGAGATTCAGCCAGTAAAATAGCTTCACCAAAAAAAAAAACGGATTTGGAAATCGATTCCAGAATCAGGAACCAGTGTCAAACAAGGGAAGCGTTTGATGTATTCTATCAGACCCTCTACGAAAAATTTCCCCCCTTCTTAGAAATTAGGGTTCGTAGGAAGATATTTTTCTGTGCGGCTTTCTCCATTGAGGACAGCTTAGATGGGCTTCAAAAGCCCAACTAGATGCCTGCTTTGGCCCAATGAGCTTCTCTCGAAGAATATGAATATTCGCCCGTTATTTACGGTTTTATTTTTAAGCAGATGGAAAAATATATTCTGCAAAAATTAATAATTAAAGAATTAGAGAAAGATAACAAGAAATCCATACAAACTCTGTGGTGATTTGGAAAAATAATAATTGCTTGACTTACAAATGAGAGAGTACATGGTGCTATATACAGTTTACGTGAGAGGAGAAATAGGAAATAGAATGATACACCAAATCACAATTATGAAAGTATCCCTGATTATATGCTAACTGCTAACATGCCCCCGCAAGATCGGTGGCGGTGGCGAGTCCGATCTTGTTCCGAAGATCTTCGAAGCGTCCCCGAGGTAGAGGCTTGGTTAGAGCATCGGCTAGCTGGTCCATGGAGGAAACATGCGAAACACGGAGCTTTCGAGCTTGGACAAGACCACGGATATAGTGGTAGTCAATTGCAACGTGTTTCATTCGCGAATGAAAGACCGGATTGGCCGCAAGATAGGTGGCTCCGACGTTGTCGCAATAGATGACCGGTATAGAGGGGAGTGTGATGCCAAGTTCCATGAGCAAGGATGTGAGCCATTGTACTTCAGATGCAGTGGATGAGACCGACTTATACTCAGCTTCCGTTGATGATTTAGCCGCAAACCTTTGCTTCTTTGACGACCAAGAGATTGGATTGCGACCGAGGTAAACAATATGTGCTCCCGTAGACGTGAAGTCATCGGGATCGCCTCCCCAGTCGGCATCCGAAAATGCATGTAGTGTCAGAGGAGATGATATGGATAAAAGTGTACCGTGAGATCTCGTGCCATTGAGGTATCGAAGGATACGCTTCAATGCTTGCCAATGATCTGTGGTGGGGCTATGCATGTATTGAGACAACTTGTTAACCGCATAAGCAAGGTCGGGTCGAGTAAAGAGCAAATATTGGAGGCTCCCCAAGACTTGTCGGAACTCCGATGGATCATCTAGTGTTGATCCCGAGGTACGGCTCAGCTTTGATGATGATGGCAGCGGTGTGGTCACTGGTTTCGCTGCGGACATAGAGTGACGAGAGAGAATGTCGGAGATGTACCTCTTTTGTGTAAGGAGAATTCCACTCTTTGTCCGAGTTACTTCCACTCCAAGGAAGTAAGTTAGTGTCCCAAGATCCTTGATAGAAAACCGGCGAGCAAGAGCATCAATAACAGTTTGAACAACCGTCGTGTTGTTCCCTGTGACGATGATATCGTCAACGTAGACCAAAACATATATGGTTACTCCATCACGGTTGAGAATGAATAAGGACGTGTCGGATAAGGCATTGATGAATCCTGAGTTAAGGAGAAATCGGCAAAGTTCATTGTACCACGCCCTTGGAGCTTGTTTGAGTCCATAGAGTGCTTTGTGAAGTTTGCACACATATGACGGTTTATCCCGATCAACGAAGCCTGGCGGTTGAGAGAGATAGACATCCTCATCGAGCGTTCCTTGTAAGAAGGCATTGTTGACGTCAAGTTGACGGAGGGTCCATCCTCGGGTTACTGCAATGCTAAGGACAACACGTATAGTAGCATGCTTGATGACGGGGCTGAATGTGTCGTTGTAATCGATGCCCGGACGTTGATGGAATCCCTTTGCAACAAGCCTCGCTTTATACCTGTCAAGAGAACCATCAGGTAAGCGTTTAATTCGGTACACCCATTTGCATCCGATAACGTTATAGGATGTGTCCGGTGGCACAAGACTCCATGTCCCATTGCGTATGAGAGCGTTAAACTCATCAGCCATTGCACTCCGCCATTTTGGATTTTTCAGGGCTTGAGAGACACACGTCGGTTCCAAGTTGGTGGTTGGGTCAATTATGGCCGAGAGGTTGAATTTGGTGGTTGGTTTCGAAATCTGATTTTTCGATCTCGTAACCATAGGATGTGTGTTTCGGTTAGGTTGTGTGGATTGTGTTTCGGTAGTGGTTGATGGGGAATGCAATGTGGTAGGTGAGGGATCAGGTGATGGGTTCGGTAGTGATGCAGCCGAAAGAGGAGAATGTTGCTGTGGAACCTCATCGCTTATTGGTGTTGAATCACAACGGGGGTGCAACTCCGGTGTGGGCGTGGTGTGATGAATGGCGGGTTGATATGGTATACATGTTGATAATGGTGGTGATGGAGAAGTGTTTTCGGAGGAAGAGGAAGAGTCCAAGAGATGACATGAGTATGGGAATTTGTTTTCAATGAATTCGACATGTCGAGAAACATACACACGAGATGTGGGTACATGGAGACAAAGAAAGGCACTTTGGGTAAGTGAGTACCCAACGAATACACACGCAGCCGACCGAGAATGAAGTTTGTGTGGTGAATAAGGGCGTAGCCAAGGGAAGCACAAACAACCGAAAGTTCTAAGCTTGGAATAGTTGGGACTTTCGGTAAACAGAGATTCATAGGGTGACCGATTTTGGGTAGTAGGTGACGGTAGACGATTTATGAGGTAAACCGCCGTTGGTAAGGCAAAGGTCCAAAGTTCGGTGGGCATGGATGCTTTTGTAAGAAGAGTGAGTCCGGTTTCCACAATGTGTCGGTGTTTGCGTTCCGATATTCCATTGTGTTCCGGTGTATGTGGTGGAGATGTATGGTGAGAAATTCCATGAGTGGATAAAAATTCTTTAAGGGCTATGTATTCTCCACCATTGTCAGAAAAGAGGGTGACGATTTTGGTTTGAAAACGATTTTCGACAAGTGATTTGAACCGAGGGAAAATGGTCGAGACGTGTGATTTTTGGCGGAGAGGGAAAAACCAAGTATATCGGGTGTAGTGATCAACAAAGATCACGTAGTATTTGAACCCGTCAAAAGAAGAGATTGGCGAGGTCCAAACATCCGAATAGACAAGTTCTAGTGGTCGGGAAGAAGTGGCCGAAGACAAGGAGAAAGGAATTTTATGGCTTTTATTGATATGACAAGACTCACAAGACAATGGACGACGAGGACTACATGATAGCGGAAGAGAAAACTTGGAAACAATAAAATCAAGAACTTGACGAGACGGATGGCCTAATCTAGCGTGCCACTCGAAGATGGACGTCTTAGCACTCGATAATGCAAGACTCAATGGCTTATTCGGGGAAGGATGGGACAGGGAAGAGGCTGGCCATTCATACACACCATTTTTAAGTGGCCCGGTTGCTAGTGTTGCCCCCGTGTTGAGATCCTTCACCTGAAAGAAATGAGAGAAGAATTCCACAGAAACGTTATTCGAATTACAAAGTTGATGAATGGATAAAAGGTTACGATGCATGGTTGGGACATAAAGTATGTTATGTAGTTTAAGAGGAGATGAATGAGAAGGGAGCAACGAGGAACCGGTGTGTGTTATAGCAAGCCCCGAGCCATCGCCAATGACGACCTCGTCTCCTCCAGTGTACGGGGCGTGTAGTGAAAGATTGGCCAAGTCAGATGTTACGTGGTGAGAAGCACCGGAGTCGAGTAACCAAGGTGACGAGGGCTGAGAAATAGGTACAACCGCATGATTTGCAGCAGGACGCCATGGAGAGTAGCCAGGTGAAGGGGCCGAGAACTGATCTGATGGACGAGGAATAGGCGAGGGCAACAGATGACAGTTGCGTGCACTATGGCCTTGGACGCCACAGAGTTGGCATTTTCCAAGATATGGACGAGGTGAACCTCGTGCATATGTCTGCGTCTGATGCTCCGGTCGAGCAGAGGGAGCCGAGTTGTGTCGGCCACCTCTCGGACGCCAAGGAGGGCGGCTGCCTGTGTGAGCGACATTCGCCGACATCGGGATCTCCGAGGGACTTGAGACAACCAAGTCTGCATCGAGTGTGAGTAATCGTTCGTGTAATTCGATGAACGAGATCGATGTGTCTCGTGCATGAACTGCATCTTTGACCGATTTGTATTCATCTCCGAGACCCGCGAGGATGAGATCAATTAGATCTTCATGATCTAGTGGCTTCCCCAGCAAGGCCAACTCGTCCGCTTTGATTTTGAAGAATCTCATGTATTCGTCAATGGATTTGGAGCCTTTGGTGTGGCGACGCAATTGCTCTTTGATTTGCTTGACGTGGCCACGACTCGAACGACCGTAGGTGTCGGCAAGGGACTTCCAGGCAGCAGCAGATGACGGGGAAGTCGCAACCAACGGTTGGCAAGAGGCTGCGATGGAGCCTAAGGGGCCCCCCCCCTGCCGATACCATGGGGTATAGGCGGGATTCGATGTGATGGTGTCGTTGGCAATGACTGTCGGTGGAGGAGCGGACGTCAGGTCGAGATAACTCTCGAGATTGTAGCCAGCCAACAATGCTTGAAGTTGAATGCTCCAAGTGATGTAGTTAGTCCCATTGAGTTTAGAGACATTTGAAACATTGATATTAATCAATGTTGATCCAGGATCTGCCGGATTATGAGGAGTGACATTGTCACTAGGAAGGGTGCCAGAACCGGAGCCAGAGTTGGAAGCCATGGCTGTGTGCGGCGGCTAGGGTAGGTGAGAAAAGAGAAGGAAAAAAAAATCTGGGTTTTTGTCGTGAGACAATATCAGGCTCTTGATACCATGTGGTGATTTGGAAAAATAATAATTGCTTGACTTACAAATGAGAGAGTACATGGTGCTATATACAGTTTACGTGAGAGGAGAAATAGGAAATAGAATGATACACCAAATCACAATTATGAAAGTATCCCTGATTATATGCTAACTGCTAACAAACTCTTTGACTGAAATATCGGCATATTTTGTAAGATAAGTTTTTTTTTTAATATAAAACTAGGGTTTATTTTTTGCTATTAAAGGTATTCACACTCATACATACACACATTAAAAAAAATTGTAATCTAAACTCGAGATTTTTTTAATGTGAAAACAAAAATCCGAACTAATATTTTTGTATCAAAATGGGTCTCGCATATGTTGTTCGATCAAAAGGGCATCGTTTTTTTTATTTAATAAATCTCATCTGATCCGTCCAAAGAATAAAGTGATAAATTGTGTTATGATGCTTTTTTTTGTGTCAAAACGTGTTCCACTATATATATATATATATATATATAATATGAGGGTTATTAGATAAAAGTAGAGTTGTTGTGTAAAAATGATGCAACATAAGTTTGATATAACAAAAGGGGGGATGTCGGCTGAGAAACAGTAGTCGAAAGATGCCTTTTGGCCTAATATGGTACCAAGTGGACGCTTTCAATTCTCCAAACGGTCGAATAATTCCAAAAGGCTCGTAAAGGCACGATTAAAAAAAATAATGGATAGAAACGATATAATTTTAAAATTAATATGGCATTATCTTCTAATCTAACTATTAGGACCAAACATATCATGGAGGGTGTGTTCTCTGTTCTCAAAGAGCCACACCGAGTTTTAACATATTATCTTTAGAGACTAAATTAAATGTGTTACTCATAGATTCTAATTATGTAATTAATTAAAAGTTACCATTAACCAAAAAAGCTCCCGTTATCACAGAAGTTATTCAGTAATCAATATTATTTTTTTCACACATTTTTTATTTTAAAAAACTTATATTTATTAATTTTGTATCAATTTTCGACAAATCTATTTAAAAAAATAAGTATTTTTTAAATATATTATCGTTTTTATTTTTATAATCAGCCTACATTCGGTTATTTTAATTTAAAAAATTATAACCAACAAATGTTTAAATCTAAAACCTTTTAAAATAGAAATTACACGGATAAGTAATTCTGAGAGCTAAATTTAGGTAACTATCATCGAATATTTATCAAGTTGTAATGGTTATGAGTTAAAACTAATATTATGAATCTTGCGAGCTATATAGAATCAGATTGAACTTATATAGATCTAAACCCACACAAAACTGATATAGATACAGGTTAAACTGTCAACATGTATGTATGTATATATACATACATATATATATATATATATGTATATACGCATATTTATCAAGCAAAACTGAAATCGAGGACTGCAGAATATGTACTTGAGAGGATGAAACATGTGCTAACTTGCAGATGCAGACACACCAAAGAATCCCTAAGCATTCTCTGGCGTTCAGTATTCTTACAAAATTTTATTGTTATATTTACTATTTCGTTATATCTATTGTAATCTCATGTTACATAAAAATGGAAAACGTACACAATATATACATACATATGTATATGTATATACTGTCACGTATTTTGCTTCATGTAAAAAAGGCTATAGGTTTTGTTGATGAAACCCTAATCCAACCCATTAAACCGAGTCGATGCTTCCTAGCGCGTTCACAGTACAAAACCCATTTGTAAAACACCCAGAAAAACTTTCCGACACGTAAGGCACGAACACATCGCCATCCAACGGCTCAAAATAGTTAAGCACACGATCCGCCCCATCGTACGGCTCCTGATCGTCCTGAAACTCCGGCACCGGATTCTCCGCCACGACGGATGCGGTGACCGGATATAAGGCGTCCGCCGCGAAAATCGGCTGCCCCGGTGGAAGATCGGCGGCGTCTTGGCCGGTGAGCTCCTGCACAAGCTCTCTGAACTTGGAGGCACAAGTCTCCACCTTCATTGGATTTGATATGTACTTCACTTTGATGGGTTTCGTCTTCTTCTTCGCCTGCTTCGCCGGTTTCTTCGCTGTCGATTTCCTCTGCATGTGTAAGGCCGTGACCGCTCTCGCCTCCATTTTTTCCGGCGATAAGCTAAGGGTAGTTCCTGTCGTGGGAAGGGGGAGAGCGGGAAATAAGGGGAGAGAGGAGAAACAAGAAGAACGAGAGAGGTGAGGATTTGAAGATGCAGCAATGTAAGGGGGAAAGGAACAAATTTATGACAGGACTTGATTAAGTCTTCGAAGTCTTCTGTGTGTGTTTTTTGTTATCGGCGCGTCGGTCCCACGCGCTTATACGCCGGATGGCTGCTGCGAAATAAATTATAATACCCCTCCGGGTCAAATTTCGTTTTAAAGAATATTTTTTATTATTCATTAGATGCTTGTTTTAGATTTTTTAGGTGATTTTATAAGAAAATTTGCAATTCTATTCTTAATTAAAAAAAACTTAACTTCAATAAAATTAATGAGAATGCCATTTAATACTCTATGATTTTTTTTTATATTTCTTTAATAATCGTGAAAAAATCTAAAACGATATTTTTTTAAAAGTACAGATAGTATATTAAATTATAGATTTTGTTTAGTAAGATCAAATATCTTATATTATATACTAGAAATTATGATAATTACGTTTTTAATATTCAAATTTAAGTAGTCTAAAAGAGCATATACAGTATATTTTTATTTCGAATTCAAATCCAAATGTGGAAGAGTGTATTCATGTGGACTTCTCTAGTTATTTGAGAGATGTAGTTGGATTAAAGGTGTAGTCAATTTTCGGATTAAAAAAATTATGCTGTTTATTAGCATAAGATTTGATGAAATATAGTTTTTATATTTTATTTTAGCTATATGTGTAATGATTCAATGGACCGTGACAGGTCAGCTATATGTGTGACAAGTTTACAACTCGTGTTATATCAATGACTCAATGTATATCAACCCCTTTCGCCCAAAAAGAAAATGCTATAATGTATCCAACACCAAAAAAAAAGGGAACTTCATGACGGGTACGCGCGTGTTTCGCACCCGGGAAAAGTAGAGCGTGAGGAAAAGGAATCAGGATACAGAGGAGAAGCCGGCGGCGATGGCGCTCATCGGAGGAATCTATAAAAGGTAGCCACGTCCCACGTGAATCCGGGTGAACCAAATGGTCGACGCCATGACGTCATCAAACCAACGGTGACGACGTCACCATCGTGTAAGCGAAAGTTAATAAAAAAAAAAAGGAAAATAAATCCGGAGATAAATGTGTTTTTCCTTGGGAAAATCCAAAGATCTCAATCAAAATTATTAAAACATTTCGTTTTATAAGTATCGAACATTTTTTTTTCTCAAATTAGTTATTAAATCAAAATAAAAAATATTCTAATATATTATATCTAACTGTGGACATGTTAATTAATAAAAATACACAATTTGAATAGGAACTCGAATCTACCACTTCACACTTCCTTTTGATCTGTTTTAATTCACGTAAACACTTTTCATATAGATCAATGTGACGATATGATCTAATTGTAATTATCTGTATCTAATTAAATTCATCCAATTGTACACTCTAATATACATACATATATACACACACACACACACAAAAGAAAGAGATAATGTTGAGATGTGAAGAAATATAGGAGAGGAGGTCCATGTGGGCAAGTGGGGGAAAAGCAAAGTCTCGCAATCACAATCAGTCTGCTAAATCTGTCGAATTGGATTCCTTAACCACATTGTGGGCCATATACGTGTAATATTACGGTCCATTATACCATAAATTATACATGGGATCGGATGAAATATGGTATTGGGAGTGAATGGAATGCTATTATACAAAAACCTATTCCAACATAGAATCCATGGTGTTTTTTTTTTTCGTGAACAACGTTGAATCCATGTTGCATCTCCAATGTTTTAAAACCCCCATCTACCTGAATGCTAACTGGTTGTATATTTTATAGTGTACTTAAAATTAAATCAACATCATCTTAAAAGCGCAGTGGCCGGATTATTAGAAATTATAAAAATTTGTGAATAATAATACGTAAAATTTAATATTAGGTAAATTTCCATTATTCTCGAATCTAAATTCGGTTAATAAGATTTTGACTGACAATGAGTAGAATATTCATAGTAGGATTAAAAACATCGCTTTAATCTTAGTTTGGTTAGCTCGAGAAACTAGTCACGGGTGCGTACAGATATTATACATATATATATATATACACACACACATATATGTCCCCATTCATTCCCTTCGCCATTAATAATAACTATTCTATCCATCCAAAAGCCAAGAGCCTAGGGTTGGGTTTTTCGGGTTTCGGTTCGGTATTCAAGCGGTTCGGTTCGGGAACGATATTTTCGGTTTTATAAAAAGTGTACCAAACTAGAACCGAATGTTAAACGGTTCGGTTTTAGAATCGATTCGGTTCGGAACGGTACCATTATATGAATACCAAATAAGTACCGAACTATAATATTTACACATATATTAGTGGAATATTCGAATTTTAGTTCGGTATTCAAACAGTTCGGTTCGGTATTTATACGGTTCGGTTCGGAAACGGTTCATTCGATTCCATAAAAAGTGTACCAGATGAGAACCAAACGTTATTTGGTTCGGTTCGATTTTGGGACGGATCAGATCGGTACTAAATTCCCGAACCGAAGTGCTCACCAAGAGCCTCGTCCATTACATAACAAAAAATAAAATAAAAAGCTTTTAATTTCCTTTTTCTATTTTCAATTTGATCGATCCATTTTTTTAATCTTTATGAGAAGTAGAGGTGAGTGTTTCGACGTTCGATTTGATAATTATTCGGTTTTATATAAATATAGAGAGAGAATTGTTCGACACGTAAACTAAGTTTTGCATTTCGGAAAAGAAAAAAAAACAGGAGAAAATTGCTCGACACGTAAATTGACGAAATTGAATTAAAAAAAAGGAGTGATGTGATATGACAAAAAAAAAAGATCGACACGTAATTTAATATATTAAATTATTAATCAGACTCGAGAGAAAAAAACCCTCTTTTGTTGCTTTTATTAAAGTTTTAATTTTAAAAAGTATGGATGTAAAACGAGTCCGAACTCAAACTATTGTTTCGAGCCGATCTCAAAATACTTGAGCAAAATTTTATTACATATTTTGTTTATTTTGTTTAAAATTTTAATTTTTTATTATATTTTAAATATTTTAAAAAAATTAAAATTTTTAAGTCAAAAATAAATCCGAATTTTATAATCTTTGTCATTTTTAACTCTATTGCTGCTGATATATCGTTCCGATATCGTAATATGTAGACGATGATGTGTCAAATACAGTCAAAGTGTTGACTTATCACGTAGGATGTCGGAATGTCACATCAGCCATAGGATTAAAATGATAAAGATTATAAAATTCGGATTTATTTTTGACAGAAAATGAAGTTATTATTTTATGAAAAATGATAAATTCAGATTATTATTTTCAAAATAAAATATCATTACGTCATCAATAGAGCACGTGTGTTGACTTTCTACGAGACGATCCAAAAGATCTTCAAAAAAATCCATCTCCGCTTCAGGTGGAGAAATCTCCTGCGGATATGATCACCTCTCTTACTGTACACTCTCTCTGATATTTTTGTTTTTTGGAAATTTTGCTCGATAACCCACGCAACAAAATCAACCACAATACTCAACATGCAAAAACACCGGAAATATACATTATGCACCAAATATTTATAATTTATAATCCCAATACTATTATTTCTTCTGATATATATGAGTTGCACATAGAATATCAGTTTATAGATTGGTCACGGGGAAGTCTCACAAAACTTGACCGCACGTATAAAATTTAGTGTTAATTATGTTAATTTAGAAAATCTAATTAAGTTTAAAACTTCAATCATCCAGTCTTAAATTCGGTTAACTAAAGTTTTTTCAAATTTATGTATTGACATGGAACATTATTTATATAACTAACTTCATAAATAATCTTTTATAAAACAAAAACTTCATAAATAATCATCGCTGGGAAAGCCCATTGGGCTTTGGGCTATAAAACTGAACTACTGACGACTGGATCATTTTGTATGTAAGATTTATTTATGAATGAACGATTTTAAAAAGTATTTAAAAAATAAATAAAATTAAGGAAAACACCTAAATTCGATACTACAAAGCCATGGGTGGCCATTTCGGTTATTAACCGAATAATCAAACCGAACCGAACCAAATAAGATATAACCGTATTCGAACCGAATCCGATATCAAAACCGAATGGTTATGATTTTCTTAAATCCGAAAAAACCGAAACCGAACCGAACCGAACCGAATAAAAAAATAACTGAAAAACCGACGATTTCTTTGAAAAAAATGAATTTTTTACCGAATCCGAACCGAACTGAACCGAAATGAACCGGAATTTATGTAAAAATCGAATGGTTATAGTTTTTTTTATAATCGAAATAACCGAACCCGAATATAACCGAATCGAACTCAAACCGAAACCCGAAATGGTCACCCTAAAAGCCAGTATTATATCGTGTGTATATATATATATATATATATATATATATATGTACATAATTTGTTTTCATTATATTCAATTTTCTCATATTCAGAGTTTTAAAAAGATGAAAATCCAATTTAGATTTTATTTCATGTGCATTAATATTCCCTTCTAGTCCACCGTGTGTGTATATATATATAACAATATCGTTTGAAATTTAAAAGTTGAAATCACTCGATGTAAACTTCTGATGAAAGAACCTCTGAATTTTGATTTGTTCCGATGTCTTGTGCTTCTGGCTCTTCTACGTACATCGTAGGGTTATTATTATTATTTTTTTCTACTCATCACCGGGTAAAAAATAGCGAATGGTAAAAAACTAAAAAAAAAAAATAACAGTCGGAACAAGAAAAAGTGAAATGGCCGTATCGTTTTTCCAGTGTGTCTCACGTGGTGGTCAAGTGCCCTATACAGCTGACACGTGTTAGCGTGCATGTCTTCCGACACCTTCTCTTGTCCTTTTGGCGTTTTAAATGTTCATGCATCGTACGACCACGAGATATTGAATGCCAAAAAAGGAGGGTACGTTCGATGCATTTTCTCGAGACATTCGCGACGGGTTTCCTCGGTCATCCTAGTGGGGCTGCCGTGAAAATTTGACCCTTTACTGTCCCGGACAAAACCGATACATCGGAAACTAGGGTTTGGCTTGGGTTATCCCTTCTTTCCCTTTCAGAAAAAAAAATTATAATCACTAGGTTTT